CACATCAGAAATACATGAGAGAGAACCCTTGTATGATAGTGTTCACTAAGCTCATTAGTATAGGCCTTTTGGGGATGATACCCAAAAATAAATCCTTGTAGGCTTAGCCCAACATGGAAAATATCGTACTAATGGAGCTACCTAGTTATAACAAGCAGTATCAGAGCCTGGTTTGGTTTGGATCCGCAGTGGTGATCGTCAATTTGGTGGACCCTCATTCCGTGACATTGGAATTTGAGATATGCATTTTGTCTGCCTGATCAAAGGGAGATTCACATCTTTCTGGCATATAAGTGGAGAAATGCATTTGGTAGATCCTTGTGTCATAGAACCTCTTGATAGAAGATGTCTTGCGGATCAAGATAATTGTCGAGAAGAGAACATGAATTTCATGGTCCTTGACTTGAGCGGAGGATTGTTATGAAACAATCCAAGTACAACATGGAAGTACAAAGGAAGAGACCCTTGTATATTAGTGTGCATAAGGGTCATTATTATGAGGCATCTTGGGAAGGAATCCTAAAGTAAATATGTGCGGGCTTACCCCAAAGTAGACATTATCATACTAATGGATCTACCCGGTTTCAGCAAGTGGTATCAGAGTCTGGTTGGATGCCGGGAGGTGGACGTCAGTTTGGTGAGACCCTCATTCGATGCCTTCGGGATTTGCGATATGCGGTTGTTTGAAGGATCAAAGGGAGATTTGCGTCTGGTATGGCATATCAATGGTGATCTGCGTCTGGGAAATCCTTGTGTCGAAAAGCCTGTCGATACAAGGCGTTTGGCGAATAAAGATAATTGACGAGGAAATGACTTGAAGTTTGTGTCGACGTTCCGTGTCTTCAGTAAACTATTTTGATCATGGTTATTTGCTTGTAGGGTCGTGAGTAGGGGAGTTTGGATTGTTACTTGCGGGAAGTGGTTTGATTGTTGCATATCTTGTTTGCTACATGTTTTGGGGTTTGATCTCTTTGTATCAAATGTGATGCCTTTGACATTACGAGTTGCTTTCTTGCTCTCCTCAAACACACGTGTGATTTCACCTTTCCCAATTCCTCACAAGAAGGTTGGCGGAAATGTGAACTGATCACATAAAAGTATGTCCCTTCCATAGGGACATAGTACTCAGCAATTCCTCGTTCTTTGCTTTTTCGTGAGAGAGCTCATAGCAGTCTCCTTCCTTGGTTACCCGAACGAAATAACAAAATGCATGCTACTCATCAATAACGTAAAGTCACTCCAACTAAACATATGTTAAAAGCAATGCTCTACTGATGCAAGTAATGCGTGTGCGTGTCCTCAATTTCTGAAGCCCCCAGGTAGGCAGGGCAAAGAGATGTGAAAAAGAGAGACGAGATAGCCGTGAAGCGAATGTGGTGAAGACGATGCCGTCTAATGAATATATAATTTTGGTCTTTCTTATTCTGGTTCTGGTACATAAATAAAGGCAAGAGGAAGGTGGGGAATGGATGTTCCCTGAGAAGCCAGCCACATGTTGGGAACGAAACTGCCTTTCACCCGACATATGGCCGCACCACATTTATGACAGAAAAAACCCAATTGTTTGGTAGTGTTTATTATTCTCATCATTAGAGTTAATCAGCGGATTCAGGGGTAGAGCACCGAGCCATGTTTTGAAAAGAGTCAAAATGGGTTGGGCCGTAGCTAGACGAACACTTAAACGATTACCGAAAATAAAAAATTTACAAGTGCTATACGAGATTTGATCCAGAGGGCGCCCCCTGGATCCGCCGCTGGAGTTAATACCGAACCATATCAACGGACGGATCAGTAAAATCGCAAAATCAGTTACTATAGTGGTCCGGTCCATTGTTTGGAAGGTTGCTGATGGACCAAACAGTTTTCATGGTTCAACATAAAACCAGATGAACCACTACGGTTTAATTGGTCCATAATTTTAACCAAGAATTACAAAAAAAAAAAAAAAAAAACGTAAACTAAGATCATTAAACCAGAATTATTAATTTTATTTATGCTTCTTCTCATTTTGTCAACATTTTTGTCGACTTTAGTTTTTAACTTGAATTAAAAAAATCATGATTTCTTTTGTGAGGCGGTTTGAATGATTTGTTAGATCATTTGGTGATGATGTGGATATACAATTGTTTATGGTCACTGATAAATTCATCCTTAAATTAGTGAATTATACAAGTCTTGTATATATCATGAACGGTTCTATCAACAGTTAGCCAATAATTTTGTAACGGTTAACCACTGAACCGTAAACCACTAACTTTCCTGGTTCAACTCGTTTAGTCTGATTCTGAAGACAGAGGCTAATATCATTATATATTGTACAATTGTAAATTAATAAACATAAATTCCTTATTATTATAAAGTATGAAAATTATGTTTATCAATTTACGTAGAAGTGGCGGGTAGGATCATATATCCTTGAACCACAAAATTACAAAGTTTCTCAAGGTTTGGCTGGCCAATAGAAGGAGGAGAGAGAAGAGTAAAGTAACTAAGGAAATTTTGGATGGAAGAATACATCTGTTATATTTTCATAATATAATACTAGATTTGTAGAAAAATGGTAAAGAGATATTTGTTGATGTATGATGGTACAAAATACTATTAAGTATTAATTATTATTATTATTATTATTATTATTATTATTATGCAAAATCAAACTGATACAGCGCTCTAATATTGGAAATCCCAATGTCATTTCAGCCTTCTCCTCCTCGGTACTTGATTAGAGTTTTGTCCTTAACATCTTTTTTAATCAGAGTTGTTGGTTTGACAATAAAAATAAGGGTAATGTCTATTTTTTACCCAAATCTTTTTCACATTCTTTTATTTTATCCAAACCTATTGAAATACTATTTATTAACCAAACGTATTGTACTTTATCAGAGTCTGGGCATTTATTCTGTTACCGTTAATTATTTACTAACGGATCTCCACATCAGCACCCACATCAGCGTCCATGTCAAAAATAAAAAATAAAAAATCATAAAACTAACCATAATCAAATCTCACTATCGCCTCTCTAGGAACCGAAAGCGCAATCGCTCATCCCGCCGCCGCGACTAGTACCTGACTTTATTGACCGCCGGCGACATCCTCATCCACACCAATAGTGCCGCAATCCTGGTCAGGATGTCGAAGGAAAGCGCCGTAAATCTCGATGGACCTCAGTCGATCTGTGGCAGCGGAGTTGAGGTCGTTGACGGAGCAGATCTGAGTTCAAAAGTCGGATGCCGATCTGGAGGCCTGGTGGACAGATCTGGCGGATGCCCGTTCTAGAGGTTTGGAGGAGAGATCCGATGGATGCCCAATCAAAATGCTAACTTGATCGGGGAAGCTGCCGACGAATCTCTGCGTTGGAGGGGTGCTCACCGGGCGAGTTGCTCAATCCAACCATTTGAGCGGAGAGGTTCCTAGTTCGATTGGGGATTGTGGAACTCTGAGAACGGTTCAGCTCTACGACAACAATTTTTCAGGGGAGGTGCCGTGGACGGCGGTCAACATGACGTACTTGATGTTGAGCGACAATTCATTCTCCGGCGCACTCCCGACCTCCATAGCCTGGAATTTGTCGAGATTGAAGATTAATAACAACAGGTTTTCAAGGTCGTTACCCAAAGGAGTCGCGAATTGGAAAGGGCTGGTTGTGTTCGAAGCCAACAACAATCTGATCTCTGGCGATTGGCGGTGGAGGCCTGGAGGGTTGTCTAGCATTTTTGAGTTTGATTCGAGAATTGAATTTTTTTCAGAATCTCAATCTCAAACTCTCCCCCATTTGTGGTGGCGGTGGTGAATGCCGAGCAGTTGGGGAGGAGGACGATGGAGATAGGGACTTGGGTAAATGTATGGAAATGTACTAAGATGAAAGGGTTTCATGTCACGGCGGCGGCGGTGGTGGCCGGAGGAGGTAGAAGGGAGATGAGATGTTCTCTTCCTTTGGAGTTTGCCACGTCAACGCAATGTCACGGCCACATCAATGCCATGTCAACGCCAAGTCAATAAAGATAACAGAAATTGGAAGAAAAGTTAACGGATGGTTAATAAATAGGATTTCAATAGGTTTGGATAAAATAAAAGAATTTGAAAAACATTTGGGTAAAAAATAGACATTACCCTAAAAATAAAAACATAACCGTGACGTGTTGTGTTTTCTTGTCTCATTTTGTCGATCTGACTTATGACCTGCTTATTCTAAGGTTTAAGTCCTAAAAATGTCTTGTGATAGTGTCACTTCGTTGATTTTAATAAGGTGGTGGAACGATATAATAAAGTTTGAAAAGAAATGTTGAAGTATAAAATTGGCAAAATACACCTGTATAGCCATAACTTTCACGTTTTTGACAAATATAGCCATTTCTATTCGAAAACACGAAATAGCCCAAAAAACAGAGGGTAGTGTGACAAATCTAGCCAAAACCGTTAGAAACTTTAACACCGTCCGTGACTCTGTTAAATCGTTTGACGGAATGCTGACGAGGATGCCTAATCATCGCACACGTCAGCGACAACTCAACCACACTTGCCACATAAGTGCCATGTCATATTTTAATTTAAAAATAAATAAATAAATAATCTATTTAAAAAAAAAAAAACAAACACATGAGATGAGGCCTGCTCCTTCCCCTCTATCCCTCTGTCGAACTCTTCTCCCTCTCCTCCTCTCCTTCCTTATTCTCCAGTCTCCACCTTCCACCACCAACCCCAACTCCAAACCCATATCATCTCCTCACACTCCGTCACTCCACCTTCCACCACCGACCCTGCTGACACCAGTTCTTCCTCCCAATCCATCCAGATCTAAAACTCCACTCTTTTCCTCTGCTTCCCGAGCTCCACAGAACCCGACGACATTCATGGCGGCGACCACAAGCTCCGACGAGTCGAATCCCCTCTTAGAAGGCCGCCGACGGGAAGCCGATCAGAGGAGCGGATGGTGGCCGACTAGCATCAACGAAGTGCTGGACATTGAAGAAGCCAAAACCCAGATCTTGTTTTCACTGCCCATGATCCTCACCAACCTTTTCTTCTACCTCATCCCTCTAGTCTCCGTCATGTTCGCCGGCCATCTCGGCGAGCTCCACCTCGCCGGCGCCACCCTTGCCAACTCCTGGGCCACCGTCACCGGTTTCGCTTTCATGGTACAAAACCAATTCTCTCCTTTCCCCCCACCAATTTTGCCAAATCAGGTAGGGTTTTGTCTTTTGAAGCTTGCTCTGTTCCCCCCCCCCCCCCCCCCCCCCCCCGCGATTGTAGACAGGGCTAAGTTGCGAAGCTGTACAGAAAGTTGGGGATCCATCTCCAAGCTTCCTGCATCATATCATTCCTCTTCTCTGTCGCAATTTCTGTGATCTGGTTCTACACGGAGCCGATTTTGATCCTTCTAGGGCAAGACCCCCAAATTTCATCCATGGCTACTCTGTACATGAAGTACCTCATCCCAGGAGTGTTTGCTTATGGGTTTCTGCAGAACATTCTAAGGTTCCTGCAGACGCAGTCTGCCGTTATGCCTCTTGTCCTGTTCTCGATGTTGCCTGTCTGCATTCATATAGGGCTTGCTTATGCTCTGGTATCGAGAGGAAGGTAGAGTTTGAACGGAGAGAGACAGAGAAGGCTCTGGATTTTAACGGAGAGAGGAAGGTAGAGTTTGAACGGAGAGAGGGGATGGAGGTTTTGGAGTCGGTAGGTAGAGGGAAAAGAGGTCGAGATCGGGTGGGTCGAAGAGGAGCAGGTCGTCGAGCGGAAGGAGGTGTCGGATTGCGCTCGGCGGTGATGGTAGCCCCGATGTGGGGTTTCCGGGAAGGAGCTGGGGGCGAAAAATGGTTGGGGTACAGGGAGGAAGGTGAAGATTTTGTATAAATAATTTTATTTTTATTTTTTATCTTATGAACTCGGAAAATTGAATTTATGTTTTTATATTTTTTTTTTAATCCACGTGTCCGACGAAGTATTGCTAGGTCAGCATTTCCGTTAGTCTAGTCAGAGTGTTAAGTAACACCGTTAAAGGGATGGACGGAATTGGCTATTTTTGGTTTTCGAAAAGATATGGCTATATTTGTCAAAAACGTGAAAGTTATGGCTATACAAGTGTATTTTGCCTATAAAATTTTAATATTTTGATAGAATAATGGGTGCGAACTATCACTACCTCTTACTATTAATACGACGGAGACACAAAAATATTCAAAATATAATATATAATCCAGTAGCGAATCTTCGAGTTATGTTCATTAACAAAATGACTATCACCAAAGAAAACAGAAAAACTCATTTAATCCAAGCAATCGACTAATTAGAATTCCCCTCTTTGAACACATTGGAGAGTCTAACCTCTCACTCCCTCCAAAGGAGGCTCCAAAGGAGGCTGTGAAACTAGACTACTAAGCTAGCATGCTGATGATACTAATCGTCCTTGTACAAGCTACAAAACCAGTAACGATATCTTTTTTTAATCTTTTCATAATGAATTGTTTTAAGAGCTGAAATTGTTGGGAGAAACCTAATAATATATAGGGAATTCTTACAGTAATTTGAGTATAGTTTCAAGTTATGTAACTTTCATAAATCTAAATCGTTAAAATCGATCAAAATTATTTTAAACCATTAATTAAAGAAATAAAAAATAAGTAAACAATCAATGGCAACAAGGGTTGCCGGTCACCACATTCATTACGTAAAGGTTACCAAACGATAGTTATTTCTTACGTAACAGTTAAATTATATTAGAAGCATTACGTAAGGCTTCCGTAATAACTTAGCACTTTACGTAACGCTATGTTAATACTCATTACGTAAAAAGACCTTCCATTACATAAAGGTTAAGGAACGATAGTTATTTCATACGTAACAGTTAGATCAGCAGCGTTACGTAAGACTTCCATAATGACTTAGCATTTTACGTAACACGAGGTTAATACTCATTAGGTAAAGACACATTCTATTACGTGCGTAAGGCTTCCGTAATGATCTTTTACAACTGTTACGTAAGATTACCATATGTTACGTAACCATTACGTAATGCTTATTGTATTTTACGTAATGCGACCTATGAAACCTGCTATATCAGGTAAAAAAATTCAAGTTACCTTACTTCAAGTTACCATAGGAAATCTCTAATATATATTATATCATTCTATTACATCATTTTCACATGAAAATCTATTAAATTCAAAGTTTGCACAAACTAGAGCTGACAAGACTATTCAAAAGATTTGCTCGAATTTTCTTAGGTTTGAGAACAGTTATGGAAAAGTCTCTAAATCCAAACCCGAAGTTCGATTTGATAAAAACCAACAATTGATCATTTAAAACATTGATCGGAGTTATCGAAGTATAACTAATGGTCCCAAACCATACCCATTCATTATTGTTAGTTCGATGATACGATGCATGTATGGTTAGGTAGCAATAGCATGATTCGTGGGTTAGGTTATTAATAATTGACCAAATTAAACACCATTTGTCACGTGTGAATGCCGCCTCTACACATAACTCAGCCCCAACAATTGAAGATGCAAGCTTTTGACGATGTCGCTTACTCCCTCCTATATGTTGCCATGTGGTCTTGTTTTGGGTATTATGGTCACCTACCGCTTTGAAAAACGATCATTAAACAACTGTTTTCTCTGGGGGGAAACAGCACTAAACAATTTTTTGCGAGAAAGAAATTGATTAGTTTATTATTATCATTACATGCTCAATTTTTTCGATAATTAACAAGTTTTCATTTAGCACTCTCAATCAAACCACCACCGCAGCCTCCTTTCTGAGCTTTGTTGCACATAATCTCCAACATTGTATCCTATGAATCTGGCAGCAGAAGTGCAACCCTCAGAACTGCTGAAATAAACTCCCTGGCAAAGCTACATTCACAAAATAAATGTTGCCTAGTTTTACTTGGTTTGTCACATAACACACAGTTGTGAATTGTAAGCATTCCCCAACTTTTCAACTTGTCCATCGTGGTTATTCAATGAAGAACAACCAACCATGTTCGAGTTCTGTTTTTGGGTAGAGTATACTTTGCCCATAGGATCCTCCACCATCTCACCTTACGCTTATTCAATCTAATAGAATCTCAAACCGTTGAAACAGCAAACTTAAGAAGTTTCTTGCCCTACCAAGTGACACAACCTTCATTATGCATGTTCATTCTGTAACTTAACCAGGGTCTAATCTTCGGTAGTTGTTTCCATATCCACGACCATGTGGAGGTGGCTTTGACATCCCAAATAGAGTCATCTTTCAGTCTGTATCGATATATCTAGGCCACTGAGAAGCTTCCTCCTCGTATGAGCAAAAACCATATTAGCCTTGTAACACAAGCAATATTCCAGGAAACCAAGTCCTTCAATCCCAAACCTCCGTCCTTTTTTGGCAAGACAAAGGTCTCCCATGATAAGCCATAATCTCGATTAAATCAATCATGACCGTCTTGAATAAACTGCTTAATCGGACATAGACTATGAGTCAAACTCACAAGAGTGTCAAACAATTGCCAATTCAACAAACACGACTAGAGTTCATCATACCCAAGTGAAAAGCGAGTCTACTCCATAGATCGAGAAGGAAATATAGAAGGGAGGTTGAAAGACATAATTGTGGCGATGGGATTCATCTTCGGGTCAGAATTCTCCACTACTAGACTTGAATCTTGAGCTCCAATGGTGAAGAAATCCTCTAAAATAGCTCCAAGAATGTTACCAAGTCACAATATCTCTCTAAGGCTCTCCTTTTATTTCTTTGATGCAAAAACTCGGACTTCCCTTTTGGAAAATTTGCAGCCTCCTATTTATACACGAGTATACAATTTTCACAATGGACTGTGACTTTTGAATTCTAGGTTGTGACTTCTTCAAACACCCTGTTTCATTTAGCCGGCTTGAAGATTCACGGTGGTGCATGTGCGCAAACATGAAATGGATAAAATTTATAGGATGCCCAAGGTTTGTATTCCACAAGGTCTACTAATGCATAACAAATCACACCATACCATCCATGAAAAGTAAAATCTGTTTAGGGGTTTTTAAGCTATATAGATGCATAGAAGTAAAGATATGTTATTGAATAGAAATCATACTTGATTTCAACACACATATCAACACTCATTCAATCATGCATCGATGACTCATCTACAACATCACTCATCCCTTCTACTAAGGCCATCCCACATGAGCTTTTGCCACATGCAATAGGAACTTGACTAGCTAATGCGTGATGTCGCTTCATAATCAATGAAGAACAAAGAAGTGATGATAACACATGATTAAGTGTGGGATTCTTTAGCCATAATCCATGGTCTATAGCATCAATGATCTAACAATCAAGCATTGATACTACATGATATGCATCAAAATTCAATAGCATAAACACAAGCATCATCCAAAACCTTAGCAATAATATAAATGAAGATAAAAAAGTTCACAATCATACGCAATCAATTTCACTAGCTATACATAAAAGAGAATGAGGGTATCACCATTGATGATGAATGTATCTACTTAGTTGCACCCTCTCCTACGAATGCTAAGCCCTCACTATAATAGAGTGTCTATAGAAGTTTTGAATGGAATAATATAGTGATATAACTTGCATGAATACCTTTCTAACCGTACTAGGACATGGTCTCTCTGACTTGGGGCCAAAGCAAGGCCTTCTGGTCCTCAATTAGGCTTGTGCCCTAGAGTGGCGGCTGGAACCGCCACTTCTTTCCTTTGTGGGCTCAAAACCCTTGCCCATAAGAAACCTCTCCTGTAGATATCATCGTGATTTGACCAGGTCTACTAGGGCGACGGTTGGACCCAACACTGGGAAGCCATTAGACCTTGCTTCGATTTGGGCAGAATCTTTCTCCATTGGGATGTACTCGTGGTTACTAGTAGGTTTCTCCTTCATTGGATCTCGTCTTTCATATGAAAAATCCATATGCTTCTCTTGTTAGCTCCTTTGGTCCTCCTAAGTCATCCAACGCTTGATCCAAAACCTCTTAGGTTTTATTTCACCTTTTCACCTTGAAAAGCACAAAAACATATCAAGTAGGCATAAAAGAATACCAAAACACAACCTAGGTCTATCAAATGCTCCTTGATCAAATAGTTATGATTTAGATATGAAATATAAGATAAATTTCTAAAGATGCATTGATATAAGAGGAATAGGTATCAAATATGGGAGTGATAAACTCTATAAATCGAGTGTCAATAGTATTACCCCACACTTGAACTTTGGTTGTCCCAAGCAAACACTACTCACTCAATGAAGACCGACAATCGTCACTCAATCATATGATCTGAGGTAGTTGATCAAGAGTGAACAATAGCACGAGAGACTCTAACCACGTTAGCATGCAGAACATTGCAATTCAACCCAAGCATCAACAATGCTTAAACTTTGGATGCTTCTATCAGAAACTTGACATTACTTTAAGCACTTTGCCTTATTCAAACACATTCTTTTTCTATTTTTTTGAATTTTCTTCTCTTGCAAACAACTATTTTTATTTAATTTTTTAGACTTTTCTTGTGTGGTGAGCTTTCTATAGCATTAGACTCTTATTGGTTAAACAAGAGCTAGAAGCTCCTATACTTCAATTCGTGTGAAGGTCAATGAAGTTAAAGGGTTTCAGAAGCTTTATCCGTTCCTTTAAAACTCATCTTGAGTTGATTATTAATTCAAAGGGTGGAAATTTTACTTGTACTAGAGAGGAACTAGTATCACCTTGTAGGATTGCCCCACTAAAGCTCAACTAGTATCTCTTCCAAAATCTGATTTTGTGCAATGAAAAGATGTCCCACATGTTCGACTTATCACACACTTTTCTGAACATAACATAGCAAATTTTCGAATAATAACAATATATTGATAGGTAGAATTTTGCATTGTCTTAGATGACAGAGTTCACCCTTTTAAAACAAGATACTCTTTTGCATAATTAGCTACCTGTGAATAAATCAAACAACATAACATCCAAACATATCAAATAGTTATTTCATCTCATTACCTATCCCATCCTTCATAGCCACTACATTATCCTTCCTAGATCAAGTGATGATTCCTAGCATTAACGATTTGAGAGCTTTAACTCAAGAAATTGAAAACTAAGCAAGGGGCTAAGACAATGGCCACGCAACTCCCGCAAGGGGCAAAACCATATCGTCTAGACACACAAGTAAGACAAATTAACACATTATGTTACTCCAACCATTCTTACAAGATACAAACATTAAGTGGGAAAATGTTGGGATGGATATTAATCTTCCTAATACGGCAAACGATTATGTCATTAACTCGTGCAATCTCACTATAAGGCATCTCACCTCAGGCCCAAACCCACGAGAGGCTCGGGCTCCTATATAAGGAGGCTCAAGCCCTCTAAGCAAAGGGTCTTCTTCCCTTCACTCCCCCCCTAAGATTTCTCTCTCTATATTTTATCCGCTATTCTTATACCGCACTAACGAGTCGTTGGAGCGTAGATCACGGTGTCATTCCCCTCTCCACAGTTTCCTCACCTCCCGAAGAGATCGAACGAGGGAGTATATATCGATGCCCCAAATACTTCTGTTATCGAGCCTGGTACGTTCGAGGTTCAAACACTACACTCCTAGGGTCGTGCAATGAAGCATTAAACGGCAAGTTCGGTGTCTTTCCAACGCTGATTTCCATCCGCATCCTCTCTTCGGCATCGCCCTCCGTGCCACCACCCCCACTGCTTCCTGAAGGACTCCGACGGCGAGAATAGCCAGAGGAACTAAGAGCGCCAGAAGGGGCACGATACTAAGCACGTAGGTCGCGTCACTGACCTCCACGGTGGTGCGTAAGGGTGGCGCCATGGAAAGCGATGTGGCGATTTGTGAAGGGAAAACGACGAGGGTCGCAAGGAAAGAAGATTTGAGCGAGAGTACTCTTTTTTATATATTTATGTCGTATTTTTTAGGAAATAATCATTTTAATTTAATTTTGTGATAAAAGAACGAATAATTTCTCTTTTTTTTAGATAACAACATTATACATTTGATGACGTCTACGCCTTGTTTGCACAAATTCAAAAAATGGTAGATTGCCGTTTAGTTGACTGTTAAGTCCATCGACCAACAAAATGTTCGAACAGTATCGACATCGTCATCTCCAAAATATTAAAACACAACCGTCACATAAAAAATATGATGACATATTTGACATAAACTCTAAACTATAGAAGCTTTCTTCATATCAACCCTCTTTTTAAAATGTGGAGACTATAGACTATAGAGTTTTGGTTCCATGGCATAACACCATTAAAAAATAGTGACAGGAGAGAGAGAGAGAGAGAGAGAGAGAGAGAGAGAGAGAGAGAGAGAGAGAGGTCAGTAAAGGAGAAGAAGACCAAGAAGGAAGGGGGGCAGAGTGGGGGCAGGCAGCGCATCTTTCAATAGTAGGTTTGGGGTTTTGCCTTTCTCTCCTTTTCATGGCTGCACTTTACCTTCCCTTCTTCCCCCCCACCCGCTTTCACTCCTCATAAAGCCAAATGTATTACCAAAACGGTGTAAAATGCCGATCCAGAACCCCCAACAACAATGGCTGCAGCAGCAGCAGCTGAGCAACAACTGAATGGACGGTCAAAAAAAAACACTGAAATCCGCTGATAAAGGGTAACATATCCACACTGACTCTTCTCTCCTGTCTCAATCCTCAACCAGTAATTAATATAATAGTTACCAGAAAGGTAAAAAAGAACAAAGACAGACATAAATTTAACTAAAAAACTGCTCATCCATCCATCCATTCATTCATTCATCAACTTTCTTTTTTCACTGTTTCATTTTTACCTCTTTTTTTTCTGGATTCAATCTGTCATTCCTATAAGCTGTACACTTCCCTTATTTTGAATCTTCCACCACCTCCCCAGGGGAAAAAATTTACAGCCCATTTTCCCCCCCCAACCCCACCATTTACCAATCCTCTTTTAACCATATCCCCAAAAAACAAAACTTCCTTCCCAAAGTAACCCTCCCTCTAATCTAGTGACAGTGCAAACCCTAAACCAGCAATACAGAACCCAAAAAGAGAACCAAAAGGAGCAATGGAATCACATCCATCCATCCATCTCCACAGAGAAAAGAACCAACTCCCACTCCCCCCATTCAATTTACAAACACCACCATTTGTCATCATCACCTTCCCCAAATCCCCAAATCTACCATGAGCAATACCCATGGCCCAACTTCCCAAAACTCAGCCATCCAGCCAGCCAGCCAGCCAGCCAGCCAGCTAAGCCCTTCTTGATTCTCTTCATTAATTAATAGATCACGGCTTGCCCTGGTCTGATGTTCATCATGTAGTGTAGTAGTTTTGTTCCCCTCCCTTCATCTTCATCCTTACTTACTCTACTTAAATGCCCCCATCTCCCACCATTTAAGGGGCATTCATTTCTCTGCCCCAAAACCACACAATGGGATGGGGGGGGGGGGGGGGGGGGGGGGGGGGGGGGGGGTTTAATTTAAAGGACACACAGAAGCAAAAGGATCTTATAGTTTGCTACCTGTCCTCGATGAATATTCGCCCGATGAAATCCCTGAACCTCTTGGAGTAGAGCTTGGGATCCACCGCCGAGATCGACGCTGGATCCACCTGCAACGACTTGTATGCATGCTCCAGCTTCTTGCTGATGTCGTAGTCTTGCAGTATATCGATGACCCCGAAATACAGCACCACCTCGCTCGCCTCCCCACTCCTGCACGGCATCAACTGCCCCGCTCCCCCTGGCGTGTACTGATCAAAGTCGCTCCGTCGACCCATTCTCTCTGCTCTCGCCGGCGTGTTTGCCCCCAACCTTATCAACGGTTTCCTGTATATACATACAAGTAACATCAAGATGAAATAGATGCATGAAATCATGTGTCCTTAACAATATTTGGGTTCTATTATGTACTCGGATTGTGTGACGTCCATTTTTAAAAAATCAAACACTATGTATGGATATTACGCATACATTTCTTACAGTTTTTCATCTACAAGATACATGATTTCTTAAAACCATGTATTCCACAAAGAATGGCTACCAAACAACCACCATTTAGATATTGCTGAGTGCTGACAAAGAAAATAGACAACTATTGTAGATTAATATCAAAGCTTCATATGAGATACGTTTCACAACTACAACCATGGAGGGTAGATTTGGAACTTATCTTTAGATGCTAAACAGGACCACCACCACTTAGATTGCCCCCACAAACAACTTATACTGTCTGCTAAACTTTGCCCCCACAAACACAGAGACAGATACCCAATATATTCCATCAAATTCATAATATTCAACTACAGAAATTATCATTGCCACCTTTAGTGCTCCAATAAACAACAACAAAGAGGCTCGACCACATGTTTCTTGCAGTAGTTAGTTACATGATACCCAGATGTCACCAACTAATCCAGCAAGCCAAAAAATTTATATAGATATTCCATACATCAAGGCAACGACAACTAATGGTATTAACTGGAATTAGGATAACAAATGAAGATGGGAGATAAACAAACCTGCCAGCCAAAATTCGATCTCTGTCTTGTAGCTCTGCCTCAAGAAATCGACAGCCACGCATGAACTTCTCATTCTGGTAGGAGTCCTTGGTCCCTAAACAACAAAGAAGAACCACGTTGAGCAAAGTTTGGCCGGCCACATCTCATCCACACAGCACCATAAACCCAGTCAATCCTAAAAGGGATGATGTTTTATTTTCTAGTAACCACCTGAGCGCAAAACAAATGGTGATAACCCCATTTTATCACAAGTGCTGTCGTCACGGAAGTGAAGACCAACCAAGAGACTGTAATCCATTATCCTCTCAGCTTCCAGAAATTCACAATCTCGATCGATTTGCCTACACCGTCATTAGAAGGATGCAGTGTAAGTAAGACGCTGATAGAGCCAGATTAAACAAATGTGAAACAGATTCACTATCCGAGAAAAACTTACTTCATAAGCTCCTGGTACCAATTCCGCTGGAGACGGAATACAAAATTGAGATCAAGGTCCTTGAGAGTTGTGGTTTCATCAATCTCACCCTCGGGCTTATCGGTTGTGCGACCGTGGGAGGATCCTTTTAAGTCAAATCTCCTATGTATTCTGTACTCTGAGCAGAACAAGTTACCCATCACAATGAAACGTGTCTGTTTGAACAAGCATAGCAAAGAGTCAACAATTGGCAAGTGGCAGCAAAAAGGAAAAGAGTTTTGAACAGAACCATAAGGTTCTTATACCTTCTGACCACCAACTGGTTTAACACAATGCACGCCGAAGAACTTCGTTACGAGCGAGTTCTCATACCGGCATACATGCTGATAATAACTGGAAAGCATCCGAATGAGGACCTGAAAAATGGATATGGAAAAACTTCAACACTTGCACCAAATATTTCAATGATAAACAGCACAGGCATTCACATATTCCACCGTTGAAAAGATTCCATGTGGCCATGTTAGAATTCTTTATTCAGATAAAGACAGAAGTCAAACGTAGTAGGCAACAAACCTTGACTTCAGATTTTTTCACCGTCTTGATCATGAATCGATCATCTTGGGTAAGGTAAAAGAAGCTTCCACTCTTCCCTGGAGATGAAAGCTCTCTGAGGGCATCATTACCACATATAGCCAGCATGTAATCAGCTGTATCTATTTCGAATAGCTCCCTCAAATTCCTATTGAAGAAGAAGAACCATTCATCAGTCACATTTTGTTCTTGAAACTCATGGGGAAACATAGATAATGAATGCAGTTCCATACCGGAACACCATTGGACAGTAATCCTTCCATCGGAACTCTGACGACTGATGTGGAGGTGTAATTTTCGATCCCTCTGCAGGGAACTTGGTCCAGAACTTCTCCTTGGGATCAAAATCAGAAGGCTTCAAGTCCCTAACTATCTGAGCATGTTTCCCCACTGAATATCTGCAATCAAGACGACAAAACAAATTAGTCAAAGCAAACACCATACAGCTCCTCCATCAAGGAGAACAATCGAGAGTGGAAGCAGGCAGGGGATTTACCTGATACCCAATTGCAAATTAAGCATCAAATCGTAGTTCTTATGGCCTTTGGAAATGGTCTGGCCAGGCTTCTTAGCCTCCCCATTGAAACAACAAGGCCCTCTCCGGAACTGGTGAATCCCATCTCGTTCAAATCCCAAACCATCTCTGTAAATCATGGTAGCCTCCACATTATCAATGATATCGCAGGTAATGTCACCCGCCTCACCATCGCTCTCCCATATGCATATCCTGGGGAAATTGATACTACTCCCTCTCCCAGCATCCACCGAAGATCTCTTCCGCGTCGCCATCGTCGCAACGAAATCTCCGTCGTTCCCTTTGAAACAATGCTCCTTCCCGTTCCCCGGATAGAAGGTTCCGTTCAACTGCTGGGCTCTGGTCAAATCCTTGCCGCTATTCCACGTCCCGATGTAGCAGCTCCCGTCCGGCCAGGTGAAGACGCCGTTCCCCTTGGGAACTCCGTTCTCCCACTGGCCGTCGTATCGGTTCCCATTGGCCCAGATCAAAACCCCCTTCCCGGAGATAACCCCGGCCTTCCATTCTCCAACGTACTCGTTCCCATTCTTCCACACATACCTCCCTTGACCGTCCTGGAGATTCTTCTTCCAAGTCCCCTCGTAGAAATCCCCGTTGGCGTACCGCTTCTGACCGTACCCGTGCTTCCGATCGGCGCTCCAGGAGCCGCGATAGGTATCCCCGTCGGATCCGGTGAAGGTCCCAAACCCTTCCATCCTACCGGACTTGAATTCCCCTTCAAACGTCGCACCAGAAGGCCAAGAGAATTTCCCTTTTCCGGAGGCTTTCCCCCGGCGCCACTCCCCCTCGTACATGCAGCCGTCGGCCCAGAGGTACTTCCCGGATCCGTGAGGCGCGTTGCCGGAGAAGGATCCGAGGTACAGATCTCCGTTGGGGAGGTGCTTCTCGACTGTGGAGGTGGTGGTGGCGTCGCCGCCGCTGGAGCCGTCCAGCGCGGGCGAAGCTATCGTGGTGGTAGTAGGGGTGACTCGTCGAGTGGCGGACTGGGATCGGGGACGGCCGACGACGATTGGCTGAGGTGGCAAAGAAATCGCCGCCGCGGCCGGAAGCTGCGGCCGCGGGAGGAGGGTGTTGCCGTTGTCTTTATCCTTGAGCAACACCACGACCTTGTTGTTTTCCTCGTCGAGTCCGCCAGACCTCTTCGGCTTGGCGTCGCTCCTCTCATCACCGATTACCCCCTCTCGCATTTTTTTGCTGTACCGCCCTCTCTGTGGTATTCTCCTCTCTTCTTTTTTTTGTCTCCCGCACAGTAATTTAGGGGCTTCCTGTCTATGTGAGAGCGGGCAGGAGAATTTCAGAAGGAGTAGCCACTGCCGGCACCGGAGACCGGAGAGAAGAAGAGGAGCATTTTGTCCGACGACTAAGGAGGAATGGAATCGGAATTTTTGGCCGGCGGCTCTCTCTCTCTCTCTCTCTATCTTTTCGGAAGAGAAGAATGCTCTCGAGTCTCGTCTGGTTTGCTTTTTTGGGGAAGAGGATTTGTTGTGATATTTCGCTTCAGCTGAGCTATTAGGCTAAAGCCTAAGGTAGCTGCCTGCCTGCCTGCCTGCCTCTCCGTCTCCGTCTCCGTCTCCGTCTCCGTCTGCGTCTGTTTCTTTCTCTTTCTCTTTCCTTTTTTTTATTTTTATTTTTAAATTTTTGGATTAGGGAAATGGGATGTGGGTGAGAGGGAAGAGAGAAAGAAAAGAAGGGAAGGGAAAGTGGAGAGAAGGCAGAAAACTGAAAACACTCTCAGCATTAGCATTTACCACAGAAGCCACTGGTGGTGGGGGGCAGCGGACAAAAAACCTCCCAACAAATTAATCAAATTAATTAGGAGAGAGATAAATAAAAAGGTGGGAGTTGTCAGCGTAATTCGAACTGCTTTTTCTTGTTGGTTTGTTTTCCTGCTCTTGTTACTTTTTTTTGTTCAAGTAAGCCATTAGTTTAACCCAGAAGTGGGATTTTACTATCTTGTACACAGGGGTGACGTGTGGTGTGTGGTTCGTGATCGTTGGATGAACACGACATTGCTCTTCGTTGATATACTTGATTTGCGTAAATCCAAGTTTTCAATACATGTCTTTGATCAAAGCTTATTATCGTCGATGTGTGATATGTTCTTAGTGTTTTGGCACTCGCGCTCTATCGTCCTGGGCGACGTCCTATTTTTCGCCTTTTAGCAATCATTTTTTTTATCCGCTCTCAACTCATAGCATGTTGATTAGGTCAATCTCGACCATCCAATACATGCTCCAGTGATGATCGTGACTTTACCCAATGAAAAAACTGCCCCAAACTTGTCAATCAACGAGTTTTCTCTCCGGAATAGCCTGTTACAAACCGAATCATACCCTGTCCACCGCCACGTAATCCCACTTTGGAGATTCACTGTGATGGTTCATTTTTACACGAATCCCAGGAGGCGACTTATGACTTTGTGATTATCAATGGCCAGGGACAAATATGCGATGGAAAAGCTGGTTCTGTTCTTGTTCCTCACCAATTGAAGCAGAAGCTATGGCACTTCAAGAAGCTATCAAGGCAGCTCATTGTTTGAATGTCCTGGTGTGTGTTGAGTCTGATTGTCAAGCTCATGTCTCTGCTCTATCGAGCAATCCCACATGCTGGCCTTGGTCGTGTGAAGCAAGACTTGGGATCATGTCAATGACACTAATGTTTCTCCCCTGGTTAGAGTTGCTTTTATCTAAAGGAAGGATAAGTTTCGGGCAGATTGGGTGGCAAGGTCTTTCAACCAGGGAACACTACCATCCTATCGGAACCAGGGACCTATGGATAACCAAGCTTTGATACCAATTAGTTAACGTTCATGCATTGTGAATCGTTAGTTAAATTACTTCTACTCCTAAGGATATGAAAGATAAAACCTGCGAAAACTAGTTTATTCTTCTTCAACTACTAATAACTTAACCACAAAGTACATATGAATAGTAAAGACATAACCGTGAAACTAATCCTCAGGGACTCGGTAACTCACTACTAAAGAAACTACCTTAAACACTTCAATAGTTAAATACGATTTCTAAACAATAAATGAAAAACAAATTACAATAAATTAAGGACAATACCCATATTAGTTGACACTTGGCATATGTTTTTTTTATCAATTACAATACTCAAACGGCACATAAAATGTTGGATTTCAATGTGGAACTAGTTTCAAGGACTCGTGGCTCTAAGAATCGACATTCATCTCAACACAAATCTTGGGGTAGCCCATTTGACGTCCCATTATGGTAGATTGATCAAACCACAAGGGTTTTCCAATCATACTGGCTATCCTAGTGAGAACTCGCCAGCATACCCCAATGGGATCTCAATCAATTTAACCCAAATTGATACCTCTGGACGAGCCTTATCCGCTTGGATTGTGGGCGCCCATTTACGGATATAGCACATATCCTTGTTCAAGTGCCAGAGACCGCGTGTAAACACCCAATGAATCGAGGATTCGCTTGGGCATTAGAAGAGGATAAGTTTGTTATCAAGCCACGAAACTCTAACTTTGTCGTCTCTACTCCAGAGCTCGTTAGCACAATCTTGAACCCGGTGGATGTGTGGGTTAGAGGTCAAGAATTGACCGACTAGGCAGGGGTTCCACCTTGCAATGCCTTCCTCTACCATCTCCGACGGGATGCGCATGCAGATCGCTATCAACGATTTTGGGAGGAATGTAGACTAGGAAATTTTCTTCCGCGATACCAAACAGCTTAGCCCGAGAATGCTCTCCCATAGTGAGATCTCATAGGTAAGTGAAGCGATTAAAAAGGAGGATAACACTGGAATGAGAATGGAGGCAGAAGGAAAGAGTGAAGCCAATTAGATCGCCGATGGAAGGCTGCCAACAGCAAGGCCCGCAACGACATCAAACTAAGTCACAACCACCTAGCCGTTAGAGAGAGAAAGAAGAGAGTGGTTCCTTCTAATCCGATTTCTTTATCATTATGTTTCTTTCATATGTGCTAATGCTACCCAACATCTCAAAGTTAGAGATTTTATCATAAAAACTTGTGTCCACAATGCATCATGTTTTGAATTAAGTCATATGAGGAAGCAGATTAAGTTGTATGTGTGCCAAAATACTAAAAGCTGCACACATCAATGTATTCTTGTTGGTATGCAATGACCCAAAGTAAGATCCTGTAAGTCGATTGCCATTGATCTGAGGTCCATTGGCAAAAGGTCCGATGGGGAACCTGGTCCACATGATTTAACACTTGTTTTTTCTTTCTTTTTGGTTGGTTTAACACTTGTTCCATATTTGTGGTGTCCTTAAACAAACTACCCGGGGAAGGCTGAAACTATGTGCCACCACGTGGCCTTAAATCGTTCACCACAAGGAAAAGAAATGAGAATATTTTCTCCACTAAAAAAGGTTTTAAAAATTGACGAATGGTTTTTTAATTTTTAGTATTAATAATGGAGGCAACAGAACATTTTCTTGAGATGGTTGTATTATATTTTTGAACTTTAGAAAAAACAAAACCAGCTGAGTTGATAGATGTTTTTCAGAGATTCTCAACATTTATATATTTCCCCTCCTTCGTTTCCATATAGGAATAACGATGTTGACTACTTAATCAAATTTAGAGCTTTGGAAAGTGGTGGAAATATGGGTAAAATGCCATTCCAAATTTATGGGCAACGATGGAAAGATCAAGAAGTGCATAAGCTATAATTTTAAACATCTTTCAAATAAATTGGGACATTAACTAGTTTTCAACTGTACAGTATGTTATCATATCAGAGTTCTTAACCGAAAACTCATGTTTATGAATGTTGATCAAGCTTTCTCAACTGCGGTTGATACGGTTTGACCTAATTCTGTGAGGAAAACGGAAGCCACATACTCGTGGGTCGACCCACAACAAAGTTCTCGTGTTGGAGGTCACATAGCGCTGTTTCCCCCTGTTTGGTTTGTGAAATGCGTCTCTTTTCCGGGTTCCCACTTCGCCTAACCCTATCTTAGGGAATCCTAAGTTGAACGTTTAAATATTGTTGTTATATGAGGGTGTTTAAATTTTCACTATATATTGGATATCCATGTTCGAACTATTATTTTGGTATAACGTTATATGTTATTACCCATATATTAGTTGATATTTGATATAATTTATAAATGTGTGAACACTATAACGACTTTCTCATATATTCGAGCTAAAGCAATCAGACCGCATCAACTCTCAACCTGCTTGCTCGACCGAACCAACAATCTAAACCAAGGTTGAACAAACCTCGATGTTGATCGCTCTCTTGATCGTGAGTTCGTGACATCAAAGTGACCTCTATGTGCAATTTTTCATGTTCCAAACAAGTTTTTGCTTGAGATGGGGTATATATATATAGAGAGAGGGAACAAATGAAAGTTTCGATATCTTGAACTTGTTTCAACAAATATAAAAATGCAACGAACGGATTCTCTATGGAGTTGTTGATATGTTTTATGGGTGCTCGAGCAAATTACATGGATTATTAGAAATGTACCACCGGACTAATATTCCTCTGTTTGTTGGATGGCCGCGTTTTGAAGCCCAAGGTAAGCGGGCATATAACGAAAGACAAAGAAGAAAACGAGACGATGAGAATAAACGCCAATTAGAGAGCCCCAAACCAACCAACCAACCGTCGTCACATTTTTTTACAGTTGGGAATGGCTGGCAAGTTGACGAGGTCATCATCATTAGGGAATTCAACTGTCCATCCTCTTCTCTCTCTCTGTTTCTTGGGGAATCAGAAGAAATATGGAACAGAGCAACAAGACGTGGGATGCTGTTATTGCCTGGCTTGGCTATATTTTTGTTTGCCAGTTGGGAAGACGTGATCACCACCATCATCTACCTGGTCGCCCCAGCAGCCGCCACGTGTTGCTGCGTGGTTGGATGTGTCCGAAAATTCCAAAATGGGCAGCTGAAGCTTAGCCGTTTGCCGACTCCTGTCCTGTCCATGAAAAAAACAATATAACTAAGTTTTAACTGCCAACGACTTCCTCCCGTTCATTCTTATGTAATGACGAGGTTTACAACGAGTGAATGACCAATTGTGCCTACAATACAGTAGAATAGAATAGAATAATAATCCAATGATAAGGATGGAAGATGCATGTGATTTTAAAGGAAGCTTGTTGAAAGAGGATTGATTACAAGAAGCATAATCACAATTAAGTGTAGAGCTGATCTTATCTTATCATGCAGCAACCTAAAACAAAGACGTGGGAAGCTTGGCCCAAAAAAACTCAGCCAAAAAGATTAAACGGAAGGGGGTTTGAGGCCAATCGATCACAAGCCCACTTTATTATCACTGAAAGTCGACATTTTGATGTTTGTAACCATAGTGGATAATAAGATAATGGACATTGTTTTTCGGCGAGGAAAACTCTTTTTGTTTGAACTCAATGAATGTATCTTGATTTTTTGAATAACGACTCTAAATACGGTTCATATCTTTCCGAATAATATTCAAATGAGAGTGTTTGATGCTTCTGATGGTTTTTTCCAGGAACAAGCTATGTTAATTATCGCCATCGAGTGTAACTGCGCGCCTTGGTACCGCTAGTTGGCATGTTGCTCCAAACCACCTCGGAGTCCTCATTGATGCCTTGGTGACCGGTTGATAATTGTCATCTGGGTGGCTTGGCATCATGCTTGATTGGTGTTGAGTTGAGCTCCATCTTGGTGTCTCCTCCTGACTAGATGGGGTTAGGGCCATCCTACCTTGCCTCCATCATGTTGCTATTTACCACTAAGACTCCTTCACAGTCCTGGATGGGATGAGAACCTATACTTAGTCACGGAGGGCTTGGTTTCATCTTGTGAGCTTGTCACTTAGCTGACTTGCCACACCAAGCCCATGTAATCACCTTCAGTGGCGGATCCAGGGGGCCACCTCGGGGCCCGGCCCAACCCTCCCCTGAATTCGGAGTTAGTATAGTGTTTATGAATTTTTCGATTTTAGTTATTATGCCTAGTGTTATTTTATAATAAGATTGGGTGTAACTAGAATAATGATTCAGATTAACATATTCAAATCACTACTATAATAGCCAATACCCACACCATGTTCTGCTATAGGTTTGAATGTGCATAGTACATGTTTACGTGTCATAATAGCATAATTAATAACCATTGATTTATCCGGTGAACTATCATGAGAAGTTGAAAAAGGTTGAAGGCTTGAAGCACTGTCTTGAGCATTGCAAGCTCTTCAATAGTAAAGCAACAAAAGGAATGAGAATTAGGATCGTCTGACTAGACTTGTAGGGTGGTAAGAATGTCAACCTCTTGAAGAAAACTTCCATCTTGCACATTAACATTGATTGATCCATCAAATCCTCTTCCTCTTTGTCCATAATTTCCACAGTTGTTAGCCAACTGAGTAGTTTTCTTCTTGAGCTTCCAGCAGTCCTTAACATGGTTGTCCTCTTACAATAACGACAAAACATCCATGTTTGTTGTGTCTTAGCTGAACCCTTATCTTTGGATTGATTGTACTGAGTCCTGGATGCAGCCAAGGCAGCAACTAATGATATAGCTTCTTCAAATTTTCCTGTATTGAAATTTGTTCCATTGAGTTGCCTTTCAAGTTAAACCACATATCTATATACACTATCAAGATCTGGAAGAGGATCCATCATTAACATTTGAGTCTTAACCTGTTGGTACTTCTTATTTAATCCCAACATAAATCGAACTACCTTTCCTTTCTCCCGATACCTCATTATAATCGCAGAGAATGACAGACAATATAGATAGATAGATAGATAGATAGATAAATTTGGTGTTCATCCCATAGCAACTTCATAATGGTATGGTACTGCCTAATGGTAAGATTCCCTTGTTTAGCCAAGTATATTTTCTCTTGCAAGTTTGCAATACGAACAAAATCACCTTTACTCAACTTAGATTTATGATATTCTCTTCTTTCATTTGCTACTCTAATGTTTCTCAAGTTCGGAACAATATCATCATATACTAAATACATAATCCAACACACAACTATATCATTAATGCGATCTCGATTTCCATATTAAGGATATGACTGAGAAGGAACCTAAAATCATTCCAAGGACAGATTAGTTTCTTTGTGCGTAGGGCAACCTCCATGGACTCACTCCAAAGCAAGTAGTTGTCGTCATTGAGCTTGACATCGATCATTGGTAAGAAGGAATTATCATTTCATGTGAGGTAAAATAGATTGGAATAATGATCTCTTTTTTCCTTGTACTTAGTGGAGGAATCCACGCCTGACATTTTCGGTTCTTATTGAGATGGACAAGAACAAGGTACTTCTAAAAGGAAGAAGAAGAAACCTACTAACAACAACAAGATGATGAAAACCAAAGAAGGTGCTTAGCAGCCAACCAGACTCTGATATCATGAAAAAAAATTAACCTCGACATTTTCTCTCAGGTTTGAGAGAGTGAAGCCAAGTTTGGAGAACCAGCAATTTGTATTTTCCATTTTCCATTTAGGGATGACAAAATATTCGCAACCATGGATATTCGCTCGAATCCGACCTATCGGGTTGGGTACAACCCGAATTAGAATATAGTGGCTAATGTGTGGGCATGATTTTCTCACTATCCAACCTGAACCCGCCCGATTATACACATGCATTTATATATTTCTAGAAATTATCATTATTTTTCTCAACATATTTTATATTTAGCATACAAATATAATATTTTCATGAAATTGAGTTGTTTGAAATTAATTTTCTTAATTCTAGTAAATTATTTTCGTAATTTCTCACTTATATATTGTGAGTAAATGTTAACATATTGGTAGAACTCATAAATTGAAATTATTACCCACGGAACCGTGGATACTCGAAACCCAAACGGATATGAGCATAATTATGATTTTCTACATGATTCTTATGTAGATATGGGTATGGGTAAAATCCGAACTATTTTGATTAGAATAACGAATATGCACTATCCGGCCTGATGTAATCTCTATTTTTTTTTTATAGTCACCTGTATTCCATTCATAAAGGAAATCAGTTTAGCCCAGAACGGGCCTGGCCCAAGTCGGCCTGTAACAAAAAGAGAAGGGACACTGGGGGATTATCCACCCACACAAACTGTCTATCCCAACAGAAACAAGAATGGGCCAGCCAATGGGCTGATGTGTTGTTCTTCCTTTGGGTGTAACTCCACTTCGTCGACCCACCCGAGAGAGCCTCGTTCACCTTCGCCAACTTCCTTATCTCTTCACACCAGATACCCAGTTCAGTAGAGTCACTCTCCTCCTTCTCCAGCTTGAGAATAAGCTTCTGACAGTCCGTTTCCACTATCAACGGACTAAGGCCACGACGGTTTGCTTCGCGAATTCCCATGATAATCGCCTTAGCCTCAACTTCAATGGGTCTGCAAGTCCCTTTCTCCTTCTTCGCAGTAGCACGACAAAAATTCCACTCGAATCCCTGATTACACACCCGAAACCCACCCCCTGCCGATCGAGCACCCCGACGTCGGAATTCAGCTTGAAGACTCCGATTGGGGGAGGGTTCTAGCCTTCAGATCTACCATTCTGGCATGCAATCCCAAGCTGGGAAGAGGGAGGATGCGCTTCGAGGAATGACTGCAACCAGCCCAGCGCTTTGGGTATAATCATCTCTTTATCGATCTTTGCATTATTGAAGAGGTGGTTGCACCGCTCCTTCCACAAGTACCATAAAACCATACTGAATTTCTGGATTTGATCGATCGAGCATTGTCCCCAGACCTCTTTCAGCCATTCATAACTTGTTTTGCCTTCTCCTATTTCGAACATTTGTTTACCTTCCCAATCCTGCCACCATCGACGGATCCAACTGCATTCCCGGAGAGCATGGAGCTGAGATTCAGGGAGCCCGCAAAAGGGGCAATCAGTACTAGCATCATCGATCCATTCTGCTAAATTGCATCCCACCAGTAAGATCCCTCTACCCACTTTCCATAGAAACTGTCTAATCTTAGGGGGATGTGAGTCTTCCATAGGGTCTTCCAGAAATCCAAATCTTCCTTCGTGAGGCTCGATGAATAGAATGTGGTGTAACCCTGATTTTCTCGAATCCTGTCATAGGCAAACTTAACAGAATAATGGCCATCATCAGTATCAATCCATACCCTCTCATCCCTGGTCAAGGGATTTCTCAAAGGAATTTTTGAAATTAGCTCATAATCCAGAAGTGAGAATTTGTCTCTTAACAAACTTTCATCCCAACCTCCACTGTTCACATTGATCAATGATGAAACCATCTCGTCTGACTCCATCCCACCTGGTTGTGGATTCCATTGATGAGTTTATATAGACAGAAGCTAATTACTGAGTAAAGCTAATTGTTGCTAACGGTAACCAATATGAGCTAGACAAGTGTCACCTTTTTCCTTGTAATTACACTTGTACAAAACCGAAGATCAAAACGGTGTGTTCTTTATTCATGCACTATCTTTCAAGTGAGCTATAGGTGAAAGGATATCTGACCAATGAGAGTAGGGCTGGAAGTTTGGTATCTGTATTTGAGATATACCGAATACTGTATCGAATTTGTTTATATTTGGAACTACTCCATCTTGTACTGGATCTTCGTTCAATCCTCTTCTTTTCTTATTAGGTATCTGGGCGGTGATGTTGATCTTCCTCTATTCGTAGGGGAGGGAAACACGTTCATTTCTGAAATGGACAACTTACCTATTACCGAATACACTATTATTTCTTGGGATTGGGATTGGGATTGAGATTGAGATTCAATTTCAATTGTTATTCGGTATTAGCATTGGCGTAGCTAGAGATATAATTTAGTGGGGTCCAAACAAAACTAAATACAAAGTTTGTCTCAATAGTAAAATTATTGTCTTGGGAAGAGGGGTCCGTAGTTCTAAATTTATTAACCACACCTTAAAAATCTACCATTTTTAATGTATATTCATTTACCAAGTGGGGTCCATGGACCCCACATCCCCTCACCTAGCTCCGCCAATGGGTATTAAGGATTACGGGATTGTGATCGGTATATACCGAAGTGCCAAACAATATCGAAATACAAGCTAATGTGTATTTTATGCTCTCAACTAAACTCTCTCATTCACTACTACACGACCCTCAACCACCAATCTATTGTTATTTTCATAACATAAAAAAAACAAACACTAGTATTAGTCTTCTCTTAACCTCCAATTCATCAAATTAAAGGTTACCAATGACAAGTTGATGTCACCTCTCCTCCATTCTCCTTATCCATATCGTAGCTCTAGCCAAACTCAAGACTCTTTGCTTAATCTCTTTGTCCTATATTAAACAATCAAATCTAATTAATTTCTTATTTAATAATAACGATTGAGATACATAAATATTTAGGAATTGAGGTTGAGATAACGAAATTATTTAGGGATTGGAATTAAATTTAGAATGTAATTCGGTATTCGGGATTTCGGTATTTGGTATTGGGATACCGGTACCGTATCGATTTCCACCCCTAAATGAGACCATACGACATGCGCTGCTAGGGCTGGAAGTTTGGTACCGGTATTTGGGATATACCGAATACCGTACCGAATTTATCACTATTTGGTACTACCGAATACCGGTTTGTTTTTTAGAATTGGGATTGTGATTCATTTTGGAGTGCTATTTGGTATTCGGGATTACGGAATTAGGATCGGTATATATCGAAATACCGAAATTTAAAAATTAAACGAAATATAGCACACAACCTTTAGCCATTTCTCACTCTTTCACAACTTAGAAACCCCCATCAAACTCAATTTTGACTTTTCAGTTTAAGTAACTCTCGTTTCTTACCCAATCTTTTGTTATTTTCATAACACCAGAAAGCAAACACTAATATTAGTAATTTCTCATCCTCCAATTCGTCAAATTAAAAATTATCAATGACAAACTTTTGAGATGTCACCTCTCCTTCATTCTCCTTATCCATATCTTAGCTCTACGCAAACTCAAGACTCTTTGTTTAGTCTCTTTGCCCTAAATTAAACAATCAAATCTAATTTATATATTTAATTATTAATTTAAAAGATAATTAATTTTATATTTGATAATACCGATTGGAATACTGTAGTACCGATTGAGATACCGAAATATTTAGGGATTGAAATTGGGATACCAAACGTATTTAGAAATTTAGATTGATATTGACTTTAAGGTGTAATTCGATATTCAGGATTTCAATATTTAGTATTGGGATACCAATACTGTACCGATTTCCACCCCTATGCGACTGCCCAATTTCTACTTCCTCTGCTCATTATCAAACCAAACCAAACCATGTCAATTCAAAAAGCCCCGTTGATTCCACTATCGTGATTCATCACGCACAGTAGCTTCTCCATAGCACGACTTGATATATTGAAGCAGCAGATTACATTTGCAGAAAGATAGATTTGAACTTTTGCCAATAAAGCGTGTCAAGAACCAGTTGCTCCCAATAACTCGAGTTGTTGGGAGAGGTTCAATCGTGGATCATATACCACAACACTAACACGCCCCCTCAAACGAAAGCCACTCACAAGGGCTTGAAGTTTGCACAGGTCTGAAGACAAGAATACCATGTGCTTAACAAATGGGGGTCACCGGGAATCGAACACAAGACCTCTCGGTCACAGAAGGCTCTGATACCATGTCAAGAACCATTTGATCCCAATAACTCGAGTTTTGGGAGAGGTTCAATCGTGGATCATATACCACAACACTAACAAAGCGAAGTCGGTGTCCGCTCATATATGGTTAGATTTGACCAAGTTCTAAACCTCTGTTCATCATAGAACTGTTTGCCTTTCCCATTCCCAAAAACCAGCCAATAAATATCCAGCTTCCGCCATGTGAATGAATCCATCAATAACGAGTCTCAAAATCATTGCCAGGCCCACTGCTGATCTGTAGATAGCAGCAGCAATCTCTTTCCATCAAAACACTTAAAAAAAACAAAATAAAACAACTCTTTTCTCCTTTACTCACTTGAGAACAAACATATCAGATGGATGATTCATTTCTGGCTTTTCCTATCATCTACATTCCTCTTGTATCCTTGTGGAAAAGAAAACCTAACACATAAAATAGAAACTGCAACAGATTTCACCTTCCTTTCTCTGTGCAGCTCTAACCACGAGATGAAGGATATCAGATCACATGAGTAAGGGGAGTGTTTTTCGGCATAACGGAAAGAAGAAATGATTTCTCTATTTACCTGAAATAATGGGATTTTCTTACTTACTTACATCGGACGTCAAGGGACTCCCCTCTTTCATATAACCCGTCGGCCATTCCCAAGTAGTGGAGAGGCATTAAGTAGTGTAACTAGTCAAGGAGAAGCTGATCAGCGGGGACTTGACCGAAAATATCTGGACAGGAGTCCCACTTCCCTTTCTCTCTCGCCTCCCAGTATCCACCTATGTAGCGGTATGTATCGTTTCCATTTTCCTTGGCAAACCAACGCGGTCTCCAACCCCTCTCCTGCATCTTCCGTGCCTGCAAAACCCAAAATCCGACAAGTTGATTAGCACAACCAACAGGGACAGAAGATCGCCATACTATGTTCACTAACATAAATATATTGCATGGCCTACATACGTTAAACGACATCCATTATCATATCAGTCAGTTCTCTATATACATTTGTAATCAAGTTATACAAGTAGGTGTCCCATTTCAGCTTCCGATTCAAAGAGATCTCAATTGCCGTTTATCTTTACCTGGCGCTGGCGCTGTTCCAGCCTCAACTTCTCAGAATTCGCCATCTCGAACTCCCCATTTTCTAAGTACCTTTGATCGGGCCTTAGCCTTGAATCTGTTGGTGGCAACTTCTCCTGCAAATAAAGAACACAATAGAAAAAGAAACCCCATCAACAACCCCCTCCCACTGTCTTATTTTCAGGAAGTTGGAAACAATGGAACTTCTATCCCGGAACAGAATCATGAGAAATCACCTTGAGCCCTGGGATGAGCTCATTCAATGTTATGGCGAAGCGGGTCAAGTTATATCTAGTAGGGATCTTTGGTGGGCTGCTTCGTCTCCACAGTGTATGAGCTTCTTCCAGTGGCTCGAACCCTTTGCCCTTGCCGCCACCAAGAACATAATGCATGCTCTCGTCCCATTTCCCAAATAGAGTTGCTACAGTTTTCCCACTCCTATCCACTACTACTCCTTGTACCTGTCAGGGAAAAGCCACCAATAACGTATGTAAATTAATTGTCCATCAACTTGATGTATTTTTTAATATGTAAACTAACAAGGAACCTACTCTAACCATCACAAATTATATTCAGGATACTTCCTATGCTCGTGCACCCAAAGACTCAAGACACATCCACGTTTCTAATACTTGTGAATCCACAGAAAGTTACATTGATTTATAACCCATTGTCACTTGATTTTTATGATTTTTTTCCAGTCTCGAAGTGTATACCTGGTGAGGGTTTCTGTCTATGATGGATTGCTCCTTAAACTTCAGCTTACACGAAAAGTCTCGGTTTCCTTCTATACGCATTGTACCGTAATGGTCACAGTATAGCTTCCCCAGTATCAGATTGTATATTGACGTTGTAACCTGCAATCGAAAGTGAAACATACAATTCACAACTTAACAAACAAGGTACAGTTTTCTATCAAATCCCAACAGGATAAATTCAATTATAATGCTTATCACACCTTAGACCACTGGAAAACTTCTCCGTCATCAAATTCTAATGTCAAAAGACCCTCAGGATCAAGTTGTATAGAGCGACCCCAAAATTTGCTTTTCAAATTGCTGTCTCCCCAAAACTTCCATCCTGTCCCCTCACAGTGACATGCTACAATCATTGGATGGTGACTGACCTGGAAAAAGAGTAACAGACAACTGATACTGGCATTGCTCTTCATCAAATAGATGAACATTATACTACCAAAGATGCAAACAGGAGAGAAAGATATCACTTGTCCAAGAAAAAGAGAGAATGATTATGGCCAGTGACACTTTGGAGTTCAATCTGAATGTTGAGTGCCTTGGTACCCGGCCTGTTGGCCGGGAAGTCTTATTTTATTATGTGATTACGTTTTCTTAAGATGAAAATTTTATGCATACATACGGTATAATCATGTTTTCGCGAACATGCAACATATATAATCAGATACTTAATTATTATATTTATATATTGTTTTTATAAATGTTTGTAATTTTTCACATGAGACCCTTATGTAAAATTTTGATGACTTCACTTAATTAAAATAGAAAGACTAATTACATAATTAACCACTTGATGCTGTAAAAATAATTTTCTATTTATTGATATAAGCGATACATGTTCCTAACTCAAGATATTCAGTCTTAATCTACATATACCAATTCTTTGATATTATCACACCAAATTAAAACAGCAAATCAAAAGAAGTGTGGAATATGGACACATACCATTCTTCTGAATCCTTCTACTCAAATGTCAAAAGATTAGAGGCGCAGAATGAAAAGAAACCATCGTTGTTTTATTAGAGAAACCCAAACATTCACAGGCCAGGGCACAGTGCAATGCTTTAAAAAGCTTTGGATGTAAAAGGCAAGAAATTTAGATTAGATTCAAATTCCCATGACATGAAGCAAACAGAAACTCTGAACTAAGATTGGTACTGAACAGAACATGTAACAGTGAATGAGTTTCACCTTCTCGGAGAAAAAACGAAGTCCTTTATCAGGAAAATCAGCCTCGTATGTTTCACCTAATAGTGGATTAAACGGTTTGCAGATTCTTCCTTCTGTTGAGGCATATCCAGAAACCGCGAAGGCAGCTACATTAAGAATCCTCATCAGACTGTTACCCTGGCAAGGAAAGGAGCTATGAGATGCATACAGCACTTACTGAAGGAACCTAAGACATTAACTCACCAAGCGAAAAACACAAACAATAAGTATAAATGGAAAAAACCGAGAATGAATGATATGATAGGTATATACATAAAACTATGCTGGCAAAAAAAAGACATTATAAGAGGTGAGATTAGAAGACGGGGTCCCACTATCCCTTTGAATTAGTGAATACGGACAGTTCAGAAAGGCATGACAAATTAGACTTGGTGAAATAAACTTGATTTTCTAGTCTGAAATGAGGATAATTGATTAAGAGACCATTGTCGCGTGCTTCAATTTGCATAACCACCCGAATGATACCATCATGTTAAATACCATTATGGTAGGTGAAAAGAAACAATCTGTCACTAAATGGAAAGCTCAACTCTTTATGGTTCCCATATGGTGGCACCCTCAAGAAGGAAACTGTTCAAATACTAAGAAAAGATAAAAAGTAAAACCGACCTTTCTTCCCCATTCACAAGCTCTGTCAATGAGATGAGAGTACTCCAGATCTTCAAAACACTTCTGAAGAGAGGAGAGAGGCTCATTGAAGTAAACAGGTAGACAGACTTTTGTGAGGTCCTTCCCAATGTTATCCTTAATCATTGACCAAAGACTGACACCTTTTTCCTTTTCAATTGGATCTGGTAACTTTTTACGGCGCTTAATATGAGGATAATTAAGACCAGAAGACTTAATTGAAGAGTCAATCTCATCATCTGGCTCAAGAGCGCGCAGTCCTTCATCTTCTGAAGAGAAAGAAGATGTCCGGTAATCAGATCCATTGCTTTTGAAAGAACACGATGACAGAAAGTCACGAGTATCGAAAAAGATATTCTCCTCATCATCTGTTTCCTCCTCAGCAGCACCTACTCTTTCATTATCATCAGATCCACTTGCACTGGCATCTGAAGAGAAATCAGAAACCTGAAGTTGTGAAACCACACTGCGTGTTCTTTAGGCCAACAAAATTTTCAAAAAAAAAAAAATTGTTCAGGCCTTTGCAACACACAGAAACAGAAAAGGAAGAGATGGGCGCAAATGGCCAACCATACAAAGGCAACAAAATGATAGAATAAAAACATTGAAGGCAAAGCAAAAAGCTTCAAAATTGACCTTTCACGAGAAACTACCGAGAGAGAAGAAGCATGTATATCAAAATGACCTCCCTGTATTATGAATGCTTGATGCTCGAGAAAACCCACATAATGAATCATTCTATATCAACAATCTCACTTTTCAGATGACTATTCGAGGTTGGAAACTTCTAGGGCTAAAGATTAGACTTCATGCTACAAGTACCTTCTGAAACTCATATTTGAGGTTTCACACTGATTGCTAGTACAAATATGATGAAAAGTATGCATAGCAAGATTGACTTAATTCTGCAGCAAAGTATGCATACCACTAAACTTGTCTTGAGTTGTCGTAGATGATGTACCTTGATCATTCTGTCTTTGGCTCTCATCAACAACCGTATTCTCCAGATCAACTTTTTCTGTCTACAAAAGAGTATCAAATGTGGTTCCTCAGAAGAATAGGCGACATGAAAGATATGATATTTCAACAGTGCAAAAGCAAACACAATACAGTATTGCATATAAATGAAGAGAACCACTTTCATCTCCGTCCTAGTCTAATTAATAGTCTCTTGACAGAACAAGCACTTCACTAATGTTTGGCAAGGAGAATGTATCTAGATTTACCTTTGTAGGTAGTCCATTTCTAGAAGAAAAACTAAGAGTTTTCTTCCATAGAGAATTAATACTTATAGTAATGGAAGTAAACTTCTGATCTTAACTACAGCTCTCAGGTACCAGGTGAAGTAAAATTATTAGTCCATAAAATCAAATAAATTATCTAATGTAGGCTAAATTTGAGATAAGTCTTCCATATCACATCAAGCTGAATAATAATCACTTAGCAATTCTGAGTTTGCAGAATACACGAAAATTTATGCCATCTCTAGTTATTATGACTCGGATATCTACATCACTCTGAAAGTCCAATAGACTGAACTGCCAACCCCAACTCGACTGAGTCTACTGCAATCACCAGGAATATCCAGCCCACCAGTCCAAGCAGCAAGGATGGTGACCATAGTAGCCTAGATCAATTGTTGTGACACAATCAGCCAAAACTTCTATTGCAACACCAAACCGTGTCCAGAAGGTTGACTTCTCTTCTATCAAAATTTTACTTGAGGGAGCTGTTAAAAGAGGCCAGCACAACAACGAATCAGCTTTCGAAGAGCATCGTTACCTTGTCCAACATGTAAAGTAGCTACTAGCCACAAGTTGAGACAAAATTCATGTTTGATTATATAAGCACTTTCAAACCATAGATGGGAACTATAGGAAAACTCCCTCCATTCCGACTAGAATAGGTTGGTGTCTTCACCCAAAAGAATTTGGTGTTCCAGACATAACAGTAGATGAACTTCATCAGACAAGCAAAGCTAGCATATCCCCAGTTCCATAATTGCCAGGCATGACCACTCCAAACTATTTCCGGGCAATCACGCTCTGTCCATGTTCCACACATTACTAATCCTATTTTCACAAAAACTTCTATACATACTATCTACAAACTCTACAAAATAATCAGAGAAATCATTCTCAAAGAGACCCTGCCTTCTAAGACTGTTATTTACTAACACCATCTCATAAACTAAGAAGGAAGGCAAGGACTTCACTCAATTCTTGTCAAATAAGGAAACCCAGAAGCATAGTAAGAGGCACAAGTTCTGAATTCGATTGCCATGGTCAATCCTACTTCTCGTTGCGTGTTACCTCTAACTGCCGCAGTGTTTCAATGAGTTGCCAATGTTTCTGCTTCAACAGAAGCATCTGGTTCTGCAAAGCTGTAAACTCACTCATCATGATCTGCTCACTCTCCTGAATCACCTCTTCCCTAACACCCTCTTCTTCAAGCCTCCGCCTCAGCTTTTCCGTTGATACAGCCACGGTTTCCACGGGAGCCATTAATTCACTGTTAGATATCCTAGGGAACATGTCTTTGACAGCCTGCAACGCCTCCATCCATGCCAAACGATCCTCAGTCGTCTCAGCTCTTAGATGGAGCCGCTTAGTCCCCGTGAATATCGAGAACCTCTTGTCATCCGATCTACTCTCTCGAATCGTGGACACCTGAATTTTTCAGTACAATTTGGAGTTCTCTAGATAAGCAAACACTCGTTCAATTAAAAAAACTACCACGGAGAGAGATAGAGGAGCAGCATAGTAATAATACCTTGAGATGAACTTCGCCAACAGGATTCCGCCTCTGCTGGTTGGGGGTTCCATTCTCGGCCTTGGAAATCCTCCTGACGGACTCTTCCCCAATGACTTTGCATCCTTTCTCGGTCTCCAGATTGACGGCGATCCTATCAGGCCCGTGAATCTTGTAATAGGACAGCACGCCGTCCTGCAAAACGAACCACCGCGGCCTCCAACCTTTGCCGTAGTTCACCCACTTGTACAGAATCCCGGAAATCCCGTTCCCTACTATGTCGTTGATCTTGACATCCACCGGCTGCTCCCTCCCCGACGCCGAATTGGCGAGGGTAGATATCCGGTGGCTGTTTCTGCCGCCGTTGCTGATGACCGAATCTATGGAGGCGGTGGCACGGTGGTGGTGAAGATGATGACGATGATGATGATTTTGAAGATGATCCGCCAAGTGAATGTGGTTCGGAGCGGCGGCGGGCGATCGGGGCGTCGGGTCGGATCTGGCGGTGATGGCCATGGGAAGATCGGGCAGGGGATTCGCAGTCGGGGAGTTGTCTGATACAGTAGAGGTACAGCTGAAAGGATGCATGAAGGAGGAGGGAAAAAAAATCAGAGAGAAGCAATCGAGTCAACGCAGTAAACGGCGACGGCGGCCGCCGTTGGGACGACGGAGAGCGCAAATGAAGAAAGAGTCATGGTGATAGAGTCCACGTATATCACGGCACCGAGAGAAAGATGGAGAGATAAAGGACTCGATATCCGCCGAAACGGCAGAGATGGAAGAGGGATTAGATTTCCGCCGGAGATATTTGGATTGGAGGGAAGACCGACGGAGAAAGAGGCGGGGCAGGGGAGGGAGAAGGAGTTCCGGATGGTTACGGTTGCGGGAAGAGGAATATGATAAACGAAAAAAGAAAAAGAAAATTGCATTTATTAATTATTAAATCGCAGATAAGAAAGAAATAAAAACAAAAATTAGTTCATAGTAGTTGGAGGAAGAGGGGCAGGCTGGGAGTTTAAATATGGAGACGGTTGGTTACAACTTACAAATGAGAATTTATGTTTTACTATCATTATTTTATTATTGTTATGAGGCCTGAGATGGTTCGCCTGTGACTGCGAGGCGGTGCCGGTGCACCGGGAAGGTGGAAGTGGGAATACTCCTCTCGAGAGGGAGCGCAGATTGGTGACACGTGGAAGGAGAATAGCGGGTGAGGGAGGGACGGCCGGGATGTCCGTGTGTGTCAGTGACTCAGTGTGAAATGAAGTTGCGTGAGGACTGAAATTCCAAGGGATTCTCACTTGCGAGTAGGACTATTAATGAAACAAGTAGTTGATGAACAGTTCGGAGTCTGACTCGAGAAAAATTCGTTCGATACTCGATTCGTTTTAATCGAGCCCGTTCGTGAACAAGCTCGTCAATTAAACGAGCCAAACTCGAGTCATACCATGTTCAGCTCGAAAGTTCGCAAACAAGCTCATTTAAAGGTTTGGTATAAAAAAGGATTAGAATTCATGGATTTATGTATTGAAATTGGGATAAATATTGTGTTTTATTTTGCTAGACTTTGCTACAGGTTTGAATGTAATTTTGTGCTTAGTTCTACGTCAATCTTGAGCTAATATGAACATTTTATGAGCTGAACTCGATTTTGGGCTCGTTAACCTTATTTGACGAGTCGAGCTTTCATTTTCATAACCGAGCCGAGCTCGAGCTTGCATATCAAAGCTCGTGACGAACACGAACTGAGCTCGAGCCTGAAAATATATTAACGAGCCGAGCCCGAACTATGACAAAGCTCGGCTCGGATTATTAACAGCCCTACTTGCGATTGCGAGTTGCGAATCATCGCACGGGTCCTATAGCGGGGTTGTGACGCCGCCCTCTGATGGAACGTCAGTCGATGGATTCTAGAAAGTCGCTGGAATAATATTATTATTTTCGAAAAAAATATTGTTAGTATAATTTATTTTCGAGTTTTAAATAAAATGACGTAATTTTAATTTATTATAATCTGAAATTTTAATTTTGATGTTATTTGTTAGATTCAAGTATAAACATTTGAGTGTTGACATTAAATACTGTATTTGTTATTTTGTTTGAAATATTATATTCTATTTAAGTATGTTTGATTGTTTGTAGACTGTAACTGTAATGTAAGTAGATAGTCTTCAAATGTGTTTTATATATGCTTAATTCATTTGATGTTAATAGTTTTTCATATTTCTATATATTTAACATTATGAACCAACATATATAGATTATACCTTGATCAAACCATATCACTTACCAAATCGGTTCAACGATATAAACATGTTTCACAACCTTAATCTATTGAACCAACCGAAACAACTATGCTGTCTGGTGGCTAGGACCAATTCGAAAAATGGAATATCCAGTATGCAGACCAAATTCCCCTATTAATTTCCCCTGAAAGGAACGGTTCCTGCATTTGAAATCCACGAGGGGATAAATGGAAAGTCCTGCTCTATTTATATAGAAAAAAGTCATGTTCCATTTTCTACCTAAAAAATCATAAATTTTATTTTATATTTGGTTGAATCAATTTCTTTTCTATTGTTGCAAACAGTATGCAAAATGCATACTTGAAACCGATTCAAAGAAGTGGGGATCATAAAAACAAAAAAGGTATCAGCCAAGCTGAAATATGGGTGGAATCACCGAAGAACACGATGCAAAAGAAGGGAACCAGAAAACAGAAAAGCCTCGTAGAGGTAGTCATATACATTTACAAAAAATCACAAGCAAACGGAGAAGATAGATAGACTTGATGGTAAGCCATCACAAAATACACTTTGCCTTCTCACTTCCATATACAACAGGACAACAACAAAAAAAAAACTCCAAACCTTTACTATTTCTCCAGTTTCATCAAACATCCCTCAATCTTACCGCAAAGCCTGGTCATGTCTCCAAGCACCCTACGCTGCTGAACCCGTGATGTCAACAACTCAGGAGCCACTGGAGCACTCAGCAGCTGCTGGAGTTCACTGCAGAACGTAGTTGCCTCGTGGTCGCCTGAACACGCTTCAGCGACGAGTTGAAGCAGCTTGAAGCCTTGTTGCTCGGACAGTGAAGGCTGCGGAGCAGCAGCAGGAGCTGGTGGGGGAGCAAGGAAGGGGTGTTGAAGTAGCTGAGGGATCCTCCACCTTTTGTCTCGATCCCAAGTGAGACACTTCTTCATGAGGTCGAGCAGCCAAGGATTGGAGACGGGTTCATAAGTTATCTGATGATTCGGGTCGGTGATGACTTTCAGTTTGGACCAGAAGGCTGTGTACTGGGAAAAGGGCGTTCTCCCGTATACCATCTGGTACAGAATGCAGCCGAGTGACCAAATGTCTGATGATCGACCGCACTTTATGACGTTTCCGTTTGAGTCTAACTCGTTGCACAGGAATGCCTCCGGGGACATGTAGCTGAGAGTACCTACCTGCAGTAAAATGACACACCAACAGCTCTTCACACTGGTTGCCAATATTGCAGTTTCTAAAGAAGTTATCTTTCTACTTAAATAGTACCCCGAAACAGGTTAGAGAAAGGGTTGCTTCAGCAAGATAAGAACATAGCTCTTACATCAATCTACAGCAAAGGGATTCATAAAAAAAAAAAAATCTTAACAGCAAAGGACTTCTCCGAGAGGAAGTGATCACAGAGAGGGATTTTGTAATTCATTAATGTCTTTTCTTTGCATGTCTGTTAGTTCAACCCATTCATTCATTGTCATGACTTTCACTCGGTTTGCTTTGGCAAACATATCTAACTTAACAATTTTTTTGACTGCAGAGTTAAAATCAACACACTTCTTCACTCTTAACTTCTTAAAACAGATGTAATATTCATTGTCTCAATGAATCCTAAAAATAATACCCAAATCCACACATTTCTTTAGTATGATTTATGAATCAAATTATATACCATCATTGGTTACTAAAACTTAAAAAGAAGTTTCAACACACAAGCAAACACATGTTTAGTCCCTTTTACTAAAACTTAAAAACAATTTCCATATTTTTTAGGAAACCCTGAAACAAACACTCAGTTTATTTTCTTTATAAAAACAACATTGCACCAACAAAACCAATTGAAAGATCATCAAGTCCTAAATAAACTTAGGTAAGTTCATCATCAGGCCAGTAGAATGGAACAGGATATGCTGGATGAAAAGAATAAGTGCACTTATTCTTCAGGGATATTCAAACTAAGGTTTCCATTGTTACAGCTTACAGGCTCACTAATGTTTCAATTGTTAGATAACCCTAATACCCAATATCTTGCAAGTGTTTGCCAGAACACTCTGTAGATACCAGGGTTGTAGCAGAACATTTACCTGAGAGTCCCTCTGGATGTTGGTTGTATCACTCATGATTACTTTGGCAATGCCAAAATCAATCAACTTTAGAGAACCTTTAACAAGAAGGAAATTGGCTGGCTTCAGGTCAGAATGCACTATACGCTCATCATGGATGGTTTTAACAGCAAGAAGTATTTGCTGCAGGACATTTAAGAAAAACAAGAAGCAGAAAATCTTAGTCTCCATGATGGGAAGAAACCCTGGCTAGTGCACCCTAATATGGATAACTTCTTTTATTTTCACGTACGATGACAAACTTCATCCCATACTAGATGAATTGATCCAGCCAAAGCCAGCAATGATCTATAACAGATAATATATAAACACGGGTCATGAGATGATTAATGATTAAACTAGTTAGAAGAATAATGAGACAAAGGGTCCTGAGCATTGTGGGATTGGAAGACACGGAAAATCATTAAGGATATGATAAGCAGCCTTAAAATGCAGCTCACTTACCTGCCAGTAAAATCTAAGCCAATTATGATCTATAGTCTGATTTGAACCATCCATTTCCTTCCATTTCTGGGACAGCATGTGAGCCAAGTCAATTTCCCCATACTCAAGAACCATATATATACATGCATCATCCTTGACTTTGCCATCTTTGTTACTGATGGAACCATTGACCACGTCCTGTAGCAATTTCTTATCTGTCACCTAATTTCAAAAGTGAGTATTAGCCATGCCAAAAACCGAAAGCACTGAAGCAAGAACAAATTATGCACCCTAGCCAGAAAATGGGATTTTTTTGTTGTCAATCAATCCTAACGGATGATACAGGTAAGAGCAAGGGACTGCCACAGCTATTACGGCACTCCCTCACAAAGACTTGGACTCATAAAAGATAAGAAAAATCAAACAAACTAGACGGTAGGCCATAAATTTAGTGGGAAGAAAATCAGAAAGCATAAGACTGATAAGTTCTGCCATAAATTTACTTTTGGTTTACAATGCTAGTGATTTGCAAAAACCAAGCAGAGGTCAATAATACTACTAGATCAGAGAGATAAAAGCCAAAATGAATTTTGAACTGAACGGTAGTCAGGGAAAAAGTGCCTTAGCAGGCCTAAATGGACTAGAAGAATAGTCAAGATTTTACCAAACACTTTGAGGCCCAAACATTTCGTACAAATTATAAAACCAAATTATAAAGCTTCAAGACACGTACCTCATAGTTTATCAGCTGTATGATGTTGTTCTTTCCCTTCAGCTTATTTAGGTACTCAATTTCCTGACAAAACCCATACGCTGTTGCATAATCACGTCCCCTCAGTTTGATTTTCTTAAGTGCATAGATTGCACAATCAGCAGAAATTACTTTGTGAACCTCACTGCTTCCACCACTACCAATCTTACCAAGTTTCTGATAGCGGGTACCATTAACTACAAAGAATGCTTCAGGGTCATTATTTCTCTTACGATGACCTGATGTGCCCGTGCGGCTAGTAACCTTTTCTTGATTTCCAGTTTTCTCCAGCTTTACATCTAATGAAGGATTTGTAGAAATCTGGCTCTCAAAGTGTTCATTAGCAACAGAACCAGATGATTGTCCCACCTTTTCACCAACATGAATAGGATTACCCAGAACCCCACTTTCCTTTTGGGCCTTCTGTTGACCCTGATGCAGCTGGTGTTCCTCAACTTTTGCGTCTGTGACACAACTAGAAGATTGGACAGAAATGGCTGCATTGTCAATTAACATCCTACTTGTGCCCTTCACCAAGGAATTTGAGGAATCCTCCAAATTTGCTTCAACTGCACGCAGAGAATTCATATGACCTTCTCTCAGGGGTTCAATTGGCACATGAGAACCACAATCTAGAAGTGTCTGTGAACTGTAGGTTGTCGAGTTTGGCTTTGGCGCTGAAGTAGAATGAACAAATGTTGTGGTGGCACATGTTGTACCTACAACTGAAGATTGAGTGGCCGGTTGGCTTAAAAAGTTTCTCCATTGATGCGATTGATCCTTGATAACAGTTGCTGCGTTTGACGAAAAAGATAAGGCAGCATCAGACTTGTCACCGGCATCATAATCCAGGTTCTGAAAGTTCAGATGCATGGGTTCATCATGGCTAACATTCAATACTTCCACTCGATTGCCTACATCCCATTCCATTTCTGTCAATGCAAGTGAATTCGAGTAAGAAGACAAGTTGTCTAATACATTGGTCACTTGATCATTGGCTTCTAAAGGTTGGAAAAGAAGATAGAAACTTGTCTCCAGACCACAATAAGAAATTCAATTGTTTTGTGAGGCAGAAGTGTTAAAATGCAATAGAGAGGAAACTAATCATTCTAGAATTACTTCATCATCACATACAACCGAGGAAGTTAGTCAAATACAAAAGGAAAGGATACTTATCTCTTCCTGACTGGACAAAATATTTCAAAGGAGAAGCATATTACCCTGGGTAGTACCGGTCTTAGTCGCACCAAATTGTTCGCTTCTTTTCGTAATATCATGTTTAGGTTCCACATGAGATGCTGACAGGGGCCTCGAGCTATAGTCCTTAAAACGAACTGCAGGTTTTGGCTGTTCTCTCTGTACCTCTATTGACTTGAAATTCTGATCAAAAGGTTTAGATGTGGTTTCTGAAATGGAAGGAGCTGCAACTGATAAATCTTCCTGAATTTCTCGAACACTCGCATCTGGGTTCTCAACTGCAGTTTGATCCTGACTCAGTGAAGCGAATTCATGGGAGCCGGTGCTGATCCTGGGCATCACATTGGCAGCTGAATTTCTAATTGGCTGTCGTTGCACGCGTTGGGCTCTGATACCATCTGCCTGCATTGTACCTACAATAAAGATACGGGAAGCCATTACAGAAATGAAGTTACAGACGACATTTCCTGCCGATTCTAACTAAACCCTAATTTTCCGTCAGTACTAGAAGAGACAAAATTGGGGCGGAAAGGTAATAGAGCACGAGGGATTCACATAAGCAGCTTATTGCAGAGGGAGCTAGCTAGACGTAGAGAGGAAACTCGTACCGAGGGAGCGGTGGCGCTTGAAAGCAGCTTGAACATGCCGGAAAAGGGACGGCTCGGCGGAGGAGGAGGAGGAGGAAGAAGAGGTGGTTTCCGGGTTGGTAATTGGACGACGGATGAAATTCCTAGTGGCCACATGGGCGGGAGGTACCGGAAGTTCAGCCTCCCGGTCCATTTGCCGATCCGGACGGCATTTCCTTCCGGTGACGGAAATTTGGGTAACTATAGAAGACGGCTGAAGACGATCAGTCGGAGTTGCAACAGCCCATGCTCAAAGGATGTGAGAATAACTCGCAATTGAGAACCGACTGACGGAGAGAGCAGTGATGTTCTCGTTGCTGTCGCTGAGAGCGTGGAGCTCAGCTGCTGAGGGCCGAGGCGATGGCGGCAGGGAATCCTTGCAGCAGTTCGGACAGAGAGATGAGAGAGGGGGAGAAGTTAAAAAAAACTTTTGAATTGGCTCAATTGGCGCTCGGTCAGGGAATCCTTTCTGGGCCCATCATTGGGCTTCTCCGAACCAATGTAAAGGCTTTGAAGCCCAAACATCAATACGAAGCTAAGGCCATCTATGGGCTTTGCTATTTCTACACGGTGTGTCGGTAAGGCGACAAATGAGCCGAGCTGCTCGCGAGTGGCTCGGTATTTGACTCGAGAAAACTCGTTCGAAATTTGGCTCGTTTATTGTTAATAAACGAGCCGAATATGAACTAAACTTTGTGAAGCTCGCGAGCTAGCTCGACTTAGTGGCTTGTTGAGCTGAACTCGTGAGCTGACTTATTTAGAGGAGGGTTAAGTAATTTATAAAATGTGTCATTTATGAATATGACTCATAATGTTTTCAGTTAATAAACGAGTAATTTGACACTACATGACTTTTTTTTATAAGGATGATATATGTTAGTTTGTATTGTTAGGTGATATATAAGGAATTCGAACTTGAGACCTCTAAATTAAAAAATTAGTGGCAGTGATATTACTATTAGATCAAACTTTTATCCGTGATATGACTCAATTGAGCCATCAAACTTTAACATAATGCAACATGGGGCAGGGAAATTTATAGGAAATAACACAGCTTTACTCGACATATGGAACGTACTTTGCCGTTTGAGACAAAAGAAATACTGCAAAAGACCACTTTATTTTTCGTTGAATCAAAAGACCACTTTTAATCTTTACATATTACAAGTTATCGTATTGCCGTAATGATCCTAGTGGCAAGATTACTCATTTCAAAGTTCATCGTCCACTCATTGTAGACGATTCTTAGGTATTTTTCAAAATGACAGATCATCGGTAAGTCAATTCATTTATGGATTTTGTAAAACTTTTATTTAAAATTATAAAATATGTGAATAACAACCGTATATATTGAGCTCGTAATAGCTTTTTAAGTTTTTTATGCTAAGTTAGTGACATGACGGGTTGACTAGCAGTACAAACAAACGCAAAGCAAACCAGAGGCCTCGAGGCAGTGATGATAAGAAGGAGAAAATATAGGACCAACAACACTAGAAAGAGAGTGCTAGCGGTAAACATCGAGAAGGAAGACCCTAACAGAAGACTGAGATCAAACACGTTCCTCAGTTAGAAAAAGTCCAAAGGATTATGAATACAGATAATATAAACGATTACTATAGTAACTTTATTAAAAAGAGCATCAAGACGGATGGACGAAAATAAAGAAGCAATTAAGTTAAGTCCGTCGAACTTTAATGTAATGCATGCAACATTGGGCAGGGAAGCTTATAGGAAATAACACAGCTTTACTCGACGCCATATGGAACGTATACTTTGGCGTATGATTTTGAGGCAAAAGGAATCCTGCAGCTTTCCCCCATGCATATCCTTCAAAGACTGCAAAAGACCACTGTAAAAATAAAAACACAAAACTGCAAAAGACCACTTTTTAATCTTTACAAGTAAAGCAAGTCTTCAAATTGCCGTTGGATGTATAATCCTAGTGGCAAGATTCCACATTTCAAATCCATCGTCCAGTGGTTGTACTACACGATTGATTGTTTAGTCGTTTTTCAAAATCACGATCATCTGTATTCGAACGCATAAATTTGAAATCTATACTAGTTATGTAAAGGTTTGATATGAACTAATTGATCCCAATAATTTAAGTTGACGAACAATGTTCAACTTTTTTTTGTAACAAAATATTTTCAATTATTAATCTTATATCAGTTACTAAAGTTAATGATTAGTATACATAAATAATAATGATTAGTGCATATGTTATTGTCAAGCTTTATCCGTGAACACACTCTTTTAATTAACATGGTCGCCCAATCAAATTAGTTATGTGGTTCGTAGAGAATGGTTAACCAATGATACGAGCATGGAACCGGTACCCGTAGTTATCAGAGTAAAACAACTAAGAACATGAATAAAATATAGGGATAAAGAAGAATTGAAGTGCAATCTCACACCTGGGAGAAGGCTCTATCAATATAAGGGTAGAATCTCGACCACAATCAAGATAGATGCATGCTTGATACAGAGACACACTCAACGCGATTGGAGTCCACCTACGGCGAGAGCAAAATTCACAAGGCATAAACTTGATGAACTAGGGTAAAATTTCAATAATAATCAAAGTCTCATAAAATTCGTGTTTACAACCCTTTAAATAGGGTTGGAAAATAAAACTAATAAAAAACCCGAAAAGGAAAAAGAATCATGAACAAAAAAAAGATAAATTCACTTGTCAGCCCCCGATAACTGGTCTCAGATCCCTGATCGGGGATGTAAGCCCAACTGTTGGGGTCATTCTATTTGTGATCCCCTGTCAGCCTCCTTGAATATTCCCCGGTCGGGGAATTTAGTAATTCCCCCTGGGGGAGAATCACATCAGTCCCTCCCCATTGAAGAAGCTTTGCCATCAAAACTCGAGTAAAACACAACACATCATTATCCCATTTGAACTCAAGCAATCCACAAAGCTCTCGATCCAAACAAGCGTTGCACCCTGGCTTTCAAATAAAATTCCCTGCATCATCATCAAAAAAGAACAAACAATATCCACAATCCCATGGAATCAAGAGCTCAAACAACTCGGCAAACACGTGCTCCAATCCATGAACTTTTAAGCGAAAGCCACCATCCAATTTGCAGAATTGAAAGTCGACGTCAGAATTATCTAGTCCTGCAAAATTGACAAGATCAATTCTCCTTTCTCCAGGATTGATAGAGTAGGTTTGACCCTATGACCCGACCCAACCCAACCGAACCCAACAGGGCCATACAGGGCCAAATGAGAATCGGGTTAGGCCGAATATTTGAGCATACAGATACAGGGCTGAGTTTTTTTGGGTAGTGACAGGGTCAGGGCTGGGTTTGGCCCAGTTTCACCCCTACTTCTGAGACATGCATGTTCATCTTTGTGGTTAGATTATAATTTGGTTCAATTTTAGTATTCTGACCCCTATTATTTCTTTGTTTGGTCTCGGTGGAGTGAAGGGTGAAGAAAAAGGTTCGCCGGTACGTAGAGGTTGCCCTGGTAAGGATTGGCAACAATCGCGGTGACATCTGCTAATGTCAAAGTTGCTTTCTCCCGGCCAATTCCGTTGGAAAAATGACTTCACGAGAAAGTTGCGCTCCCAAGAAGAGCAGTTCGCAAATTTTGGGCGCTCTGAATAAAATTCGCGTTTTCGCGAACTAGCGCGGGATCGTCAGGGCTGGGTAGGCGAATTAGGTTACCTAGGTATAATGTAGTTGGTAGCCGAGTTGAGCGATAGAGGTCAAGCCTCTCTCGTTCTAATTGGGGGCATTTAGAGTGCAATTTGGCACTTTTCAATCATATAATTCAACGACAAAAAATAAACTACAAAGAATATTTAAAGATTTATTTCCATCATAATGGGTCCATTTTTTTTATACAAAAGATAATCATATATTGATACCAAAACATAGATAGTTACATCCTGGATAACAGCCAGACCTGAAAATCAAAGAAACGACTCATAGTCGGATACAAAGAGAGGGCTTTTCTAGCCACCATATGAGCTACCCTATCACTACGCCGACCTATAAATCAAACACTAAACCCAGGGTTGCTGCCAAAAACTTGTAAAATTTCTTCCAAAATGGCACCCATCCGGTTATCTCAAGCATCCGTACAGTTGATTTTATCAATGATCACCTTGGCATCCCCTTCGAATCTTATATCCGTGAAACCATGGCCTAAACTCCAAACAATAGCCTCACGGAGCACAAGCAGCTCTACCATAGATGGGTCATCAATCTAGGGATGGCAATTTTGACCTGACCCGTCTCGCGACCCGTGATCAATTACCCGACCTGGACCCGCCCTGCCACGGGGCGGGTCTGGGTACCAAGAAACCCCCCCGGACCTGCCCCATTGCCATTCCTACATCAATCCCATGGAACTGAACCCCTCTAGTCATAAGAACATAACCAGTCGAAGACAGAAGAACCAACCCATCTAGCGAATGTCATCCCTTCCCGGTAGCCCCGTCCCATTGACAAGCAACCCCAGCAGTCGGAATCGACAATCCTGGTTGTTGAACCACTGGGAGAGAATGCTGGAGGGGTGGGGGCGCATCCACCGGCAACCCCACTCATTCCTCATATTGCTGGGAAAACTATCGCATCAACGCAGGGAACCCAAACTGCTTGCCTTCAAAGACCATCCAATTCCGAGACCTCCAGATGCGCCATAGGACGGAGACAACTGCCATAAGGAGCGTCAGCTGCTGGATTAAAGTCATTAAATGCTTAAGAAACAGAGGGAAAGTATGTCGAGGCAACCCCTCCCCCAAGTATTCTAACCCCGAACAACCCCAAAGCGCACGCGCAACAGGACAATCCAGAAACAAATGCTCCATAGTTTCCGGGCCATCCCAACAGACCGGGCAACGAGGTAGAATAGGGACTTTCCTATCAATGAGGGCTTCCGTGGTGGGGAGGATTCAATTCAGAATTTGCCAAACAAAAACCTTCAGCTTAGGGGGGATATCCGCCTCCCACAAACGAATCCAACTGGACCTATCCATCCAACTAGCCGACGCCTTCCACCGACCCTTTCTCTTATCTAGGGAGACGACCAAACGGTTAGCTGACTTGACCGAGAACACCCCGTCCGAAGTATCATGCCATATCAATTTATCCTCCAAGTTCTGCCGGGGTAGGGGAATAGTTTTTATAATACAGCAAGTAGGTGGATCAAACCACTGACTGAGTTTGAGATCACACCAACGCCCCTCCCCTTGACAAATTACCTCTGCCACTGTAGGATCGCCCCCCTCCAGTAGAACCACAAGATTATACCTCGGAGGGTCAAGCTGCAGTTGAGGAATCCGGGGGGACCGAAGCAGAGACGTCGATCGGTCATTCCCAATTTGCCATCTGAGGCCCATCTCCAATAATTCCCGACCATACAAGATGTTTTGCCAACCCCAAGATAGCCGAGACCGAGCTTTAGCATTGAGGAAGTGCCCAGAGGGGAAATACTTGCCCTTATAGACTTGGGCCAGAAGAGAATGAGGTTCAACCAGGATACACCAGCCAATCTTGGCTAAAAGAGATTGATTAAAATGCTCAAACCGACAGAAACCCATTCCCCCCCCCCCCCCCCCCCCTCATGCTTGCTCCTACACATGTCCCTTCAGGCCATCCACTTGATTCTCGAGTGGCCCTCATTATCACCCCACTAAAAGCGAACTATATGTTGTCCAATAGGCGACACAACGAAAGAGGCTGCTTGAAACAAGACATCACATGCAGGTGTATTAACTGGTTGCCTTTTCACCCCACCAGTCAATCCCCCCCCCCCCCCCCCCCCCCAATTTAGCCTTATCCTTTTTTGTTAATAAATTTGGAACATCCCCAATATAAATTTTTTCTTTTTGGAACTTCTCCAATTAACCTAAAAAGTAAAAGTGCAAAATGAAGAAAGAAATTAAGGTATGGAGATCTGTCTTCTCCTCTCCCTGAGCTAAAAAATAAAACCACATGACCTCACCTGGGAATCATACTGTACACACAACGTACAGTCCAAATTGTTTTTAAATACTTTTTAAGTTTTAAGCATGGCCCTAATGAATTTCCTCTTAGTTTATCTCAGCTATTCACCAATCCCCTGATCTTTGCAAGGAGCAGGGACATCAACGGTCAGATTCCAACCATAAAAGAAATCTGTACTATAAAACACCTCTTCTTAAGCATATACTTTTGGACTAAAAACCACCATTTATTCTCAACCCACAATCCATCCAAAAAGCCTCTACACAGCTTCTCCAACCATCTCTGCAACCACCTTCTTCTTCTTCATCATCTTCTTGTTTTATAGCTCATGCATGAAGCCAGAAACTAAAACAACATAGCAAGCAGTCTAAACTTTTGCTTTGCAACAAAAATGGCGAATTGGAAATACCCAAGAAAACCCACCAAGGAAACGACACACAAGAAGAGGCAGCAGCAGAGCCAACAACAACAACAACAACAGGTCCAGAAATCAGACAAGCCTCCGCCACCGCCGCCTTCATGGACAGTCATGAAAGGCATCTTCAGCTGCAGAGATCTCCAAACCCAACAGCAGCAACAGCAGCAGAAGAAGAAAGATCAGAAACAAGAAGAAAACAAGCAGAAGAAGGCGCAGAAGCATAAAAAGCACCAGGAGGACAACAACAACAGCAGCAGCAGCAAGAAATGCAAGAAAATGAGGTGCTCTGTTTCACTATGCAAAAACAACACCACCACCAAAATAGTTTCAGCTCTTCCCCCTAATTTGACCGATCTCGCAAACAACGGCGGCGGCGGCAGCAGAAGCGAGAGAGGCAGGGGAGGAAGTAGTAGTGGTGTTGTTGTTTCAAGCTCGTCAATGGTGACAACAACGAACTCATTCAGGGGAATGCCATTCAGCCGATTCTCTGGCTGCTACGAGTGCAGAATGGTGGTCGACCCTGTTCTTGGCGGCTTCACCAAAATCCCCAATTCGTTGAGAAGCCCCACCATTCGGTCTTGCCCTGATTGCCCCCGCATCTTCATGAACCCACAAAGCTTGGAGCTTCACCAGGCCGTTACCCACGCTGGTAAAAATTCACTTTCCATTCTTTTTCCTCTGCCTGTGGACAACAGTGAAACAGAGCACCTCATGCCTGTAAAATTGTGTATGCAGTATCCGAATTGGGAGCAGAGGACACGAGCAAGAACATAGTGGAGATCATCTTCCAATCGAGCTGGCTAAGAAAGGACGGCGGAGGCGGCGGCGGCGTTGCCCCAATGTGCAAAATAGACAGAATCTTGAAAGTCCACAACACGCAGAGCAGAGTGTCGAAGTTCGAAGAGTACAGAGATTCAATCAAGGCGAAAGCCACAAATTTCCCCAAGAAGCATCCGCGCTGCATCGCCGACGGGAACGAGCTGTTGAGGTTCTATTCGGCGAATTTCCGGTGCGCACTCGGGCTGAATGGCTCGTCGAACCTCTGCTGCTCGGCGGAAAGTGTCGACGGCGGCGGCGGGTGCTGCAACGCGTGCAGCATTATTAGGGATGGGTTTGCCGGCGGAGGGGAGAAGGGGATTTTGACGACGGCGACGAGCGGGAGGGCGCACGAGGAGAAGGTGGAGGCGGCGGCGGCGGCGTCGGAGGGGAAGAGGGCGATGCTGGTTTGCAGGGTTATAGCTGGGAGGGTGATGAAGAAGAAGATTGGAGTTGGAGTTGGAGTTGGGTTGATGGATGAGTTGTTGTATGACTCGGTGGCGGGTGATAATGTTGGGTTGTATTCGAATTTGGATGAGCTCTATGTGTTCAATCCCATGGCTATTTTGCCTTGCTTTGTTGTTATCTATGGCGGATTCTAGTTTACAGGAAGGAAGGAAATTTTCCAATCAAAATGCAGATGTTTTGATGGGCATGGTTGAATGTTGATTGTGTTAAATAAACCTGTGTTTGTTTGATTACGATAGGTTGGGGATTTGCCGGCAGCAAGTGACGGCCGGCCTTTGGCTTATTGAGTGGAACAGCCGGCGGTGGCAGTAGATAGAGCTAGGACTCTGCCTCGTCCTTTTCTTTCTGTTTACCAGACACAGAACATGCAACTTTTTCATTTTCTTTTTCATTTTCAAGTCAGCAATACAGCTAGGCGACTCAACCGCCTCTTCGACTCAAGAGTCAAGAGACTGGTTTTTGTCTATATGTTGGAACACAAAGAGCTAAGAGGTTGGGGTTGGCAATGCATAGTTTAGGTGGATTTTGGTGTTAATTTGACTTACTCGTTTAATAACGTGTGGGTATAATTGTAACTAGTTATTCATCGACATTATTGTTTGGATTGTGTTGGTTGGGTGTCGGATGAGTGCAGTTGGATTGTGAGTTAACCATCCGCAGAAGCAATTATCCAACTAGTCACTAAGAAAGTTGACTAACATTTATAATAAGCACTTATCACTTTGTCTCTTATAAATCCGTATAGCATTTGCGTCAAATTTCTTTTACTGGGATCGGTTAGCATGCTAACCCTTGTATGGGTTGGCAAAAGGGTTATAGGTATAATATACCCCTCTACTATGACGCTTTATCAAACATGCCCCTCTACTATTTTTTACATCAAACATGCCCCTGTACTTTGTAAAAATGATCAAACATGCCCTTTTGTTAAAATTTTCATCAAAAAACCGTTAACCAAGGCCGAACTTTAGTTTGGGCGACACAAATGACTAAAATATCCATAATAAATTCACTTTAGAATTTTTTTCGTTCTTTTGTATAATCAAATCATTCAAATAATTTCACTTTGAAAAGACCCAGGGAAATAAAACATGGGACAAAACTGACATTTTTCCTCCCATTTTCCGATGTCGGGTCATCTAAATCTCGGTTCAACCACGATTGACGATTTTTTCAATGAAAATTTTAACAGAAGGGCATGTTTGATAATTTTTTCAAAGTACAGGGGCATATTTGATGTAAAAAATAGTAGAGGGGCATGTTTGATAAAACGTCATAGTAGAGGGGCATATTATACCTATAACCCTTGGCAAAATGACAACCACTATTAATTATAGGTTTTTAAGGTGATTAATTTGTGTTGCATTTAATAATCTGTATGAATTAAAAACTCATATTAATTACTTTCCTTTTTCAGTGCACTGGTAGTTGTATCAGTGCACTGGTATACTGTACTGAACTCATATTAATTACGTTCCTTTTTTGGAACTACCATTGCAGTGATACATCTACTATTGCACCTGTACACAACTACCAGTGCACTGATACAACTACCAGTGCACTGATACAACTACCAGTGCACTGAAAAAAGGAAAGTAATTAATATGTGTTTTTAATTCATACAGATTATTAAATGCAACACAAATTAATTACCTTAAAAACCTATAATTAATAGGGGTTGTCATTTTGCCAACCCTTTTATGGGTAGGCATGCTATCTCACCCCTCTTTTACTTCATCAACCAATTGTATAGAGAAAATGACGCATTTTACAGATTTAATACAATTAGTCGTTTATAATTTGCATCTCATTATCTAATAGACATTACACAATATAGTAACTAATAATAGTAGTTCATAAGTATTCTTTATTCTCCACATTCAAGGGCGTAGTCAGGATTTTGTACAGGGTGAGTCCATTTAGAAAAAAATACATACGATAAAATAGTTTTGTTAGCTTCTTAAAATCATTCATGATATAATTTTGTATTTACAAAAACTTAGTAAATTAAATATTTCTCGAAACTGTAAAAATATCGCTCTAAATATATCAAACATGTATTCATGATTTAGTTAGACATTTGATTTTGAATGGTGTTCTTTGTCAATACCATTTAGTATCAATAAGTCGAGTTGTTGTGAAATGTTTAATAATGGATCTTATACTAATTAGTATTTACTAACACTTCTCCACTAAGCAACTAATACGTGCTTAAAATTTTCGCCAATTCGAATATAATGTGCTTAACAAACGGAGTCGGCAAGATTCGTACACATGATTTCTTGGTCAACCATTCTCAATTAGAAGTGTCCTAAATTTCATTCTCAATTAAATATTGTACTAATTTACTGATTTTCGTCACTAAGAGCCACCCATTACACTCTCCCAACCCCTGATTGAAATAAAATTAATGTTTACAAGTTATAGTTTGTTATAAAAACATTGAATATGTCAATACACAACTTTGAAAACATACATAAAATATTCAAATGATCAATCATTCTCGTTTAAATACATATTATTTTTTTCTACCCGATTAACTATTTTAACGAATTTACCATTATTCCTCCCGAATCAGGGTGGGTCCCAGGACCCACCTTCTATCCCTCTCCCTCCGCCCCTGTCCACATTTAGTAGCTGATGAAAGTGTGTAGTGCGATTAGAAATATGATGATTATTTGATAATTATATAAACAAGAAGCAACTTTTTTGGTATGCGAAATGTGATGCGGGTCTTTCACCCACTCAATTAAGTGCGAGTAGAAAATTTATCAATTTGCAATTCACTTACATTTCGAATTATTTGAGTGAGAATGTACATCACACCACAAACTAACCATCTACAAAGTTGAGCCGAGGTTGTATGAGACCTATAATTAAACTGTAATACATACAGGCATTAATTGCACATTGGGACTATTGCACCACCTACTGTTTACCAAGACATTGAAAAGAGTAACCATCCAACAAACACAGAAAAAAATGAGCTCAAAATTTTGAAACCTTAATTCTAGAATCTAGATATTGACGTTCCATTAAATCATCCTTCTTCGAATTTTTTTCTATCCTCCAACAAAAATGTATGATCGATATAGTACCACACCACTCAAAAAACAACAGTCTACCACGCTTGTTGCATTGTGTAAATACTAAATAATACTAGAGGCCACTCAAGTTAGAGATTGGAAATGAAAGCAGACGGTTACTTGAAATTTGGTGAAACATAAATTTTGTTTTTGGGTGAAACATAATTAAAAATTGCAAGAATTTTCCATCCGATTATTGGTGGATTTGCACACGAAACACTGACATGATAATTTAGGCGAAATAACACAATTCCCTACCCGACTAACTTGCGCCACAAAACTTCACATGTAAAAAATTTAGGTCATTAAAAAGGACAAGATACAAAATTATCGATCTGCAAACTTTTTCTCAAATTTAAGTTCATATCATAATAAACACACTTTCTAAGATTTTTCTCAAACATACATGTCTAATGAAGCGAAAATCAAGTGAGTGGAGCTCGATGAAGAACATGGAAATCATGTCCCCATCCCTCGACCAGTATGGCAGGCTAGCTAGCTAGCGTGCATCGCCATTTGTTCTCTGAATTTGTATTGTAGCGTTGGACATTGAATTTTTGGAATCAAACTGAAATTAATTAAGTTTCCATATATCATTAATTCAAAGTTTTTTTTTTTGGTACTGGTTGACTCTTGTTTTGTACTCATTACGTAATGATGCCCTCTCCCACTTTTCTTGATCCCCGGCCGGCAAAAAAGGTGGGGAAAAAACAAAAGAGTCAGCATCTCCATATTAGCGGTATGGGCAGGACTCCCTTGGCGTACCCGAAAATAGTCTCCACTATGCAAGTCCAAGATTTCAAATTTTCAAATCGGAACAAAAAAACCCTAAACTAATGACCCCCTTACGTGTCCAAACAGAGCTAACCCATCAGGATCCTGTTAGGGTGGACGGGGCTGTTTGCATGTGGGATGGGCTGTCCGGAGAGGTTCGCACTTTGCTGGTGGTTTGGTTATTCTGATCCTGGATTGGGATGTATTAATAGCTAAGGGTGTACAGTTTCCGTGGTTTGATGACCCGGCCCCTTGGTTGTGGAATTGGTGACTCTTCGTGAAGCTGTTTTGAGGTGTCAGTCGCTCGGCTTCGCGGATATTACCTTTGAGGGGGATGCGGAAGTTATCATTGATAAAATCAACCAAGCAGATGCTAGAGATAGTCGGTTAGGAGCAGTTCTGGAGGAACTCATTCAGATTTTTGCCAATAATCCTGGGTTTAGTGTTAGATTTGTAGGTCGGCGTAGCAATAGGGTAGCCCATTTGGTGGCTAGAAAAGCCCTGTCTTTGTACTCGACTATTAGTCGTTCTTTTAATTTTCGGGCCTGGCTGAATTCCAGGATGTAACTATCTTTTGTTTATCAATATATGATTATCTTTTGTAAAAAAAAAGTCCAAACTAATGAACAGGGTATTGGGAATTAAATGCATAGTGCATTCGAAGTGTATTGATACCCTAATTCAAAGAATTTGATAATGCAAACAAAATAAAAGGTAATGTTAAGACATATTCCTGTTTGAAGTGAACATGGATAATTCATGAAGAGTTTGAAGAAGCTCTTGATTTATAATCTTATTATGGCTTACCGAACATAACTGTAGCTTATTGTTATGCAGATCAACTTCTATGCTTATACAGAAAATGTAGAGACTAGGGTTTCAACCCTTTTACAACCGATCGAGAGAAGGAAATCTTATTTCAATATGGATGATATTTACCTGCAATCTAGTTTGCAGGGAGCGCCTACAACCTCCCAACACGGAGGCAATTTATTGGTTGATTTTCTTTCATTTAATTTTTTTAAGTTTACATTAAAATGGCTAACATAAGTGGAAGAGTAACGTAAGATGGCATAATCACTTTAGTAAAATTTTCACCTTTTCTAATAATACGTCAACAAATATGTATTACAAAACTAAGAAGAAAAAAGTTCATCCTAAACGCGTTGTATATAATTCAACAAATCAGAACCACTTGTTATTGATTCTAATTAATTGATCTAAACATATATGATTAAGAAAATAGGGTTTGGGTTTCACTCATTAGGGCTTACGGTATTTTTTATGTAAGGGCTTCTGATATACATATAGTAC